GCAGTAGCTGGCCACCTTTTTGAAAAGCACTTCTGGTGGAATACTGTGTAGCATCCTTGTTCTTACAGTAGCCGGCCACCTTTTTGAAAAGCACTTCTGGTGGAATACTGTGTAGCATCCTTGTTCTTGCAGTAGCTGGCCACCTTTTTGAAAAGCACTTCTGGTGGAATACTGTGTAGCATCCTTATTCTTGCAGTAGCTGGCCACCTTTTTGCAAAGCACTTCTGGTGGAATACTGTGTAGCATCCTTATTCTTGCAGTAGCTGGCCACCTTTTTGCAAAGCACTTCTGGTGGAATACTGTGTAGCATCCTTGTTCTTGTAGTAGCTGGCCACCTTTTTGCAAAGCACTTCTGGTGGAATACTGTGTAGCATCCTTGTTCTTGCAGTAGCTGGCCACCTTTTTGCAAAGCAGTTCTGGTGGAATACTGTGTAGCATCCTTGTTCTTGCAGTAGCTGGCCACCTTTTTGAAAAGCACTTCTGGTGGATTACTGTGTAGCATCCTTGTTCTTGCAGTAGGTGGCCACCTTTTTGAAAAGCATCTGTGCTGGAATAAAATTAATATCTTATCTTTCTTCTATGATTCTATGGCGTTAATTGCATTAGCGATGACGACGGTGTGGGAAAAGGGGGGGGGGGCCATTGTTTTATTTGTGATGATCGTTGCCAACTTACACATCATACGTCTTTATAACTCAAATCCACTGCTTACATCTATGTCCTTACATCTAAAACCTATTTCTGACATTGTTGTTATGCGCCCGGCACTATTTGACGATGGTGCAGACTTGTAGCTCGAAATCCACAAGGATTTGGGATTATTTTTTGAAGGATTATAAGTTGATTCCCTACACAGCAAATGGCTTCTCTCCACGCCGCTGGATAACCCAAGGGAACATCATATGTGGATGAGACAGCTTGGCACCAGTGGCGTCGCAGGAGTTGTCGGAATGTTTCTTTGTGCCAGTGTTTTCCGCATACGGGACTCCATCTCCGGGTTTGAATCCAGAGTTCATTCTCTTAGGTGAGTCGCCACCCAAGGTTAACGAGTCCCACCCGACTGGGGTGCTGGTGATGTTTTTGCTTGACTGGGCTTTGATGGGGATTGAACTCCAGACCACGAGCTTGAGATTGGCTCAGTTTAGACTATACTCGACCACTCAGCAATTATTTAGGACATATTGCACCTATATATTACGTCCCACAAATATTTCTAACATACTGCACCTATATCTTACGACTTACGTCCCACAACTATTTCTGGCTAACTGAATATCTTACGCCCCGAAACTATTTCTTAATCTATGTCCTTACATCTAACACCTATTTCTGTCATATAGCACCTATATCTTACATCCAAAAGCTATTCCTTGCATACAGCACCTATATATTACATCCCACAGCTATTTCTTGCATAAAGCACCTATATCTTACGCCCCACAGCTATTTCTTGCATACAGCACCTATATCTTACGTCCCACAGCTATTTCTTACATACATCACCTATATCTTACGTCCCACAGCTATTTCTTGCATACAGCACTTATATCTGCTTACGTCCCACAACTATTACATACAGCACCTATATCTGCTTACGTCGCACAACTATTTCTAACCTCTAAGCCCCTTGACATACTTTTCTTAAATCTATTTCGCATAATGCCACCGTTGTTGGAGATTGCGCTTCTGGAATATTGTAAATTCTATAAACCATTCGAGCGCACGTTCCCATGCCCACACATGACAAACCCCAAACAACCCCCGAGGGTTCTAACGTTGTGTAATAATAAGTTGTGTCGCCCGTTCCCACCCACGACTTGAGACCTACGCCAAGAGACGCAGCCTGGCTAAGAACGACAACTCGTGACGCTGAGACAAGAGTCACGTCCCTTGAAATATTGTAGGCTGCTGTGTACCTTGTTATTGAATGATTCACGACAAGTGAATGTTTACATTTCTAATATAAGGGCCTCATTTATAAGGAGTTTGGGGGTGGGGGCTGCGTGGGGGGAAGGGGGGCGCGACTGCCTTGCGTTGGCGTTCTTATTCTGACAACTTCCCTGATTTTTAAGAAGCTTCAGTAAACGTTAAGAAAAAGTCGACTCAATGAAGAAGATCGTCTTCAAAGATACCGGTATAGCATCATTCACTTCCTAGGCTGAAATATTAACCTATGTGTATTACACGTTAAGCATCTAGTATGAAATATTTATGTTAAGACACTGTTGATCAGCAGTAAAGATATCGGTGTTGAGATGCTATTGGTAGGACAATTCTTGAGTATTCTTAACAGTTAATGTTAGCACTGACAAGCTATGGGGCTGTGCAAATAATATATATAATACAAACGTATGAAGTTTTCTACCCACAACTACACCTTATACCATTATATAACGTTTACATCCCCCCCCCCTATTTTTTTCCAGTCGAACCAAATACATTTTTTGTTTAAAGCTGCAACAACCAAATTTCAAGCCAAAGTAAATTTTAGTATTTAATAATCCAACTCTTTAAATCTGAAGAGCAGAAATTTGGCGGAAATAAGAATTAATAAATAACAACAACAACAAAAATACAAATAAAAGGAAAAGATAATTAACATTGCTCTCTACCCCCCCCCCTTCCCAGCCACATATAACACAATGATAAACTGCCCCTAGCCCCATTGCTTTATGTAATATGTGCAAGGTGCCATACATGGCCCTTTAGCACATCAGATATTTTTAGTTTCTCTCAAATCATACCTTTAATGATGACAGGACTGTCTAATGATGACAAGATTGTCTAGTGATGAAAATACTGTCTAGTGATGACAAGACTGTCTAGTGATGACAAGACTATCTAGTGATGACAAGACTGTCCAGTGATGACAAGACTGTCTAGTGATGACAAGACTGTCTAGTGATGACAAGACTGTCTAGTGATGACAAGACTGTCTAGTGATGACAAGACTGTCCAGTGATGACAAGACTGTCTAGTGATGACAAGACTGTCTAGTGATGACAAGACTGTCTAGTGATGACAAGACTGTCTAGTGATGACAAGACTGTCTAGTGATGACAAGACTGTCTAGTGATGACGAGACTGTCTAGTGATGACAAGACTGTCTAGTGATGACAAGACTGTCTAGTGATGACAAGAATGTTTAAGAGTCCCTAAGCCTATGCACAAAACATCTTTAAATGGGACACAATGTCACAGTGGTCTATTTTCACAAAACGAACCCCTATAACACACACAGCCGCACATTATTAAATGTTATATTTATAAATCACAAAGAGCCAGGGGGGTGGCCCCACCCCCCTTTCGTTACCCCCTCTGTTCATCATTGGAATTTCCTGACTCTATACCATTTAAAAAAATTATAATTTACCCTCATCCACACCCACATCTCAACAATGACTGGATAAAGGGAAGTAGCCAATAAAATAGTTACGCTATCGGCTTGCATGCGAATTCCAACAACTCTACTATGGTGGCCTGCACAGTTGATGTCAGTAGGCAGGAGGTCAATATTTGTTGATTCAACTGTTTTCTCTGTCCTTGTCTTTCCCACCAACTTGTGACAGATGTTGAAGTTATACAAAAATTGTTGGGATTAGAAAGCTGACAGGTTGTGTCCATTTAAGTTGGTTCAACTACTTAATAATTATTTTCTAAAAAAATTAAATGCTGGACAATGACACCAAAAAATCTTCAAGCTTCCAGGCATTTTTTGGCCACTCATAAATACTTTAAGAAATAAATTAATATCCCATAAGTGGGGGGTCTTTCAGAAATTTTTATAAAGTTTAACACTAACTATTTCTGCCCTCGTCAACCTTCCATCACATCACACAGTCACCTCACACCATCCTCTCACACCGTCCCCTCACACCATCCTCTCACACCGTTCCCTCACACCGTCCTCTCACACCGTCCCCTCACACCGTCCCCTCACACCATCACCTCACACCATCACCACACACCATCACCTCACACCATCACCTCACAACATCACCTCACATGGTCACCTCACACCATCACCACACACCATCACCTCACAGCATCACCTCACACCATCACCTCACACCATACACCATCACCACACAGCATCACCTCACACCGTCACCTCACGCCATCACCACAAACCATCACCTCACACCTTCACCACAAACCATCACCTCACACCATCACCACACACCATCACCTCACATGGTCACCTCACACCATCACCACACACCATCACCTCACACCATCACCACACACCATCACCTCACACCATCACCACACACCATCACCTCACACGGCCACCTCACACCATCACCTCACACCGTCACCCCACACCCTCACCTCACACCATCACCTCACACCGCCACCACACACCATCACCACACACCTCCATCACCACCACCCATCACCTCCCACCCTCACCTCCACCCCTCACCTCACCCCCTCACCACCCACCCTCACCTCACACCGTCACCTCACACCATCACCACACACCATCACCTCACACCATCACCACACACCATCACCTCACACCATCACCACACACCATCACCTCACATGGCCACCTCACACCATCACCTCACATGGTCACATCACACCTTCACCTCACACCATAACCTCACACGGTCACCTCACACAATCACCACACACCATCCCCTCACACCATCACCTCACATGGTCACCTCACACCATAACCACAAACCATCACCACACACCATCACCACACACCATCACCTCACATGGTCACCTCACACCTTCACCTCACATGGTCACCTCACATGGTCACCTCACACCTTCACCTCACACCATCACCACACACCATCAGCTCACATGGTCACCTCACACCTTACCTCACACCATCACCTCACATGCTCACCTCACATGGTCACCTCACACCATCACTTCACATGGTCACCTCACACCGTCACTTCACATGGTCACCTCACACAATCACCACACACAATCACCTCACACAGTGTGTTGATGTCATAAAGATTTACAATAGTTTTTGTCTCTGGTCATTTATTTTCCAATTTATACAATTTAAAAGTCAAAAAGTTTCTCAATGGCAGCACTCATGATGTCCCGGCACATGTCAGTGAAGTCTGGGATGCACCAACCATCTCTTTCTGTACAAACCGTTTCCTGTAATACAAGAGCAAATACAGTTTTGAGGGGGGGGGGGTTACATGGGTTGATACTTTGACAGCTGGTCTATTTTAAGAGGGAGCTGTGAGGAACGGAGAATAGAGTGTCTATTTTTAGGGGGAGCTGTTAGGAAATGAGGAGAGGGTGTCTATTTTAAGGGGGAGAATTTAGGAAAAGAGGGGAGGGTGTCTACTGTAAGGTGGATCTGTTAGGAACGGAGGAGAGGGTGTCTATTTTAAGGGGGAGATTTTATGAAAAAAGGGGAGGGTGTCTTTTGTAAGGGAAGGAGGAGAGGGTACTTACTGTTAAGGGATTAATATCAGCTTGTTTAAACAAGGAACTTTATGTCCAGTATTTTCTTTTTATAACAAAGAAAAACAACATTTAAAAATCCTAGAAAGTTTGGAATCACTCCAGCATGGGAATGGGGAATATTTGTTGTTGCTACCATAAGAGTATCATTCTATTCAATTATCTGATTGGTTAAGTCTACAGTTATATTCTTGACTTTGCTGGGTCTGGTAAAGATATAATGTATTCTCACCTTTCCATCATTCTCATGCATCATTCTCTGCACCTCATCATGCATGACATCGCAGACCTGGTACCTCATCTGTCTGTATGGCGGCAGGTGGTTGGGACTGTAGATGTAGGTCAGGTCCTGGAAAAATCATGGGAGAACATTTCTCATCAGTTAATAATTATGATTTTTTTTGGTGCTAAATTAAAACATTTCCATTTTTAAAAAAAATATAAAGTTTTTTACAATTTTTCTTCAACAAGAACCAAAGACCATTTAACGAATATTATAGTTAATAGATTGATAACATTACCAAAACAAACTTGTACACTGGCAGTAACAGTGTGGCATGCTAGTGTGGCAGTAACAGGGGCAGTAACAAAGAACAAATTGTTCATTGCTAGACCAATAAAAGCTAACCGATTTAATTCCTCTGAAGCTGGCAGAAGAGGTACACAATTACTCCCCCTGAAATGGAGGATTGGAATACACCCATCCCAAATGAAGTTCTGAAACAGATGAGACGGTTTTCTTCTACACAAGGGTGTTCCAATCTCACCAGTCCCATGATATGGGTCTCTTGGCTAACAAGTCGATAACTATGAGAAGCCAACTAAGACATCACAGATATCCAGACTCACCAATCCTTTAGGACTGAGCTTCTCCTCACTGCCCCTGGATTCAAGGTCAAGGTGGTGGATGGGGGCAAGCTTCTGGTGGGTGTTTTTCTGTGCCAGCACGCTCATTCTGGAAACTTCTATGCCTCTTTTGGCCTCGACCTGGTTCCTTTTAGCAGCTATGTTGACAATACAAACAATGAGGCCATCTCTTCAGTAAAAAATAAATATTAATTATTAACCCATTCAATTCTGGGCACTCAGAAATTTTATCATTTGAACCACCCCCCCCCCCCCCCCCCAGGCAAAAGGGAAACAACTCCAATTTACCGTACATAGGTTCAGGAAAAGAAAAAAAAGGAAAAGAAATCTATTTTGCAGTTTACTTCCATGAAATAAAAAAGATTTTCATTCATAATTGGTTTTATCACATCATTTCCCAATGCATGTGTTGTGTAAATTCTTAAAAGTCAAACTAAGACAAATTTCTTAACTACTCCTGATCATAACAAAACATTTTTTAAAAATTGCCCAATCAATAAAAATAACAAAATAAACCTAAGCAATCTCCCTCGGTCTTGTTTCTCACAAGATTTTCATTTCAATGGTGAGATTTTCAGTTTCCATAAAGCAAGGTGTAAACAGCGATTCGGTTGGCTGGATCTGGCCAGTAAGGGATTGAATCAGTTCATGAAAGATTTATACATTGAAAAAATATACATTTGAGAAAAGGAAACAAATGAGTAAAAGAAGGAAATGTTAGTCTGTATGTGGCATCCAAACATAATGTGTTACACTCATAAATCAATTCTTTGGTTTACAATAACACATGTTATAGAGACATGCCAGACTCTTTTGTTGTCCTGATTCAATCTAAGTTACCGGTACGGGTGCTGGAATTATCCCGTACTTCATTCGGTCAAACTTACCTGTCCGTAATCTGAAATCCAGGGCCTGGTATTTTTTAGATGCTGGATCCTTACGTGGATCGTAACCGAACTTGCACCAGGAGTTACGCCAGGGGCCAGTCTCAAAATAATATGCAAACGCAGGCAGCAGCAGCCGGATGTACCTGTGGTACTGTCTGTCAATATGGGCCAAGATACCAGCCTTATTCCACACTGGCCGTTCCTCAAATAGCTGTTAGGGAGATGAACAACATATGCAGATAAGCAATGGAAATAGTTCAGTTTACATTTGGTGGTTTACTTTTAAACAGAGAAAACATTTGTTTCCATTGCATATTTAATGTGAAGCAAACATAAAAAAATTACATGCATTCAAATATTTAATAAAGAATAATTAATGAACAATAAAATAAAAAGATGTTTATTAAATTTGAAATTTTAAATGTGCTGAGGGCAAAACTATTTGACAGAGTCTACTATGAATTTGAAAGCCAATAATGAAAAAAAAAAATAAAGTACAGTTCAATCAACATTGCTTTAATTTTAACACTTTTTAAAATGGAGTGATGAAATAATTAAAGAAAAAGAAGTCATAAAGCAGAATGGATTATTTTTTCATAATTCCAAAGTTTTATTCTTGTGACATAACAGTTCAGCAGGGTAAAAAATTTGCTTTAGTGTCACAAAGTTAAATCAGGCATAGGAGTGGCCTTTGCTGAATAAAATAAATATTCTATTGCATAACAAAATACAACAATAAGGTGTCCAATATGAGGAACTGACCTTCTCCATGGCCAGCTTGCTGTCTGTGAGGTTGTGCTGGGGTAGCTTGGCCAAGTTGTTGATTGCATCTTGGTGAGGGCTGTTCGGGACACTGTGGTCACTGTAGATAAGATGGATGACCCCAGCTAATCGTTTCTTTCTCTCTGAAGGGGAAAACATGTGTGGTTTGATATATAACAACAAGAACTCATGAAATATGAAAACATGTGTTGGTTGATACAACAACAAGAAGTAATGAAATATGAAAACATGTGTGGGTTGATATAACAACTAGAACTAATGAAATATGAAAACATGAGAGAGAGAGATGTTCAAGGCAGTGATATGATGAATTCTACTATCTGCCTTCAACACCTACTAACAACACAGTTAAAATAACCAAGAAATCCCCTACATATAGCAGTTAACATTAGAAGTCTTGCAGGAAAGGCATTTTATGGTAGAACGTTGCTTTGTGTAGGAAATGAGTCTACTCTTCTACTGCCTTACTTTGACCCTGAAAGGATTTGTTCATCCCATAATTCAAATGGATTATCTTCTGTACAGTATCCCCTGACACGTAAACTTACCATGCCCAGAACATCTGACAAGTAAACTTGCCATGTCCAAGTATACAAATACCTGAGAGGTAAATTTGCCATGTCCAAGTACAGCAACACCTGAGAGGTAAATTTGCCATGTCCATGTACAGCAACACCTGACAGGTAAACTCACCTTGCCCATGTACAGTAACACCTGACAGGTAAACTCACCATGTCCAAGTACAGTAACACCTGACAGGTAAACTCACCATGTCCAAGGACAGTATCACCTGACAGGTAAACTCACCATGTCCAAGTACAGTATCACCAGTTTGGTAAGCTTCTGTTTCAAAGTAGAAGTTTATGGGCGCCTCCCGCCTGGAAAAAGAATACGGAGGAAGGAAGAGTGGCGTCTTCCTGGACAGATATTCATCCCTTTCATCATCAATCTTGGGTTGAATGGCTGACAGAATCTCCTTGTACTGACCACTGGGCAGTTTGATCACTGGTAGGTATTGAAAGTCTACCATCTCTGAAATCATAACCCCAACAAAAATCCAGCTGGTATTACATTTTGTAAATATTTTTTTGTTTTTGTCTATGCGAAATCATAGTTCAGATTACTACATAATATTTAGCTTTGACAGGTCATAGCTATGTACATATATTTTGAAAAGATTTCAAGAAAGTTTTTATTAGCATTTTGGGAGTTGGGGGACAGATTAAAAAAAAAAAAAATTGTATCTCAATCCGGTGAAGTTTAATTTAATTTTTTCTTAAAAATGCCACTTATTGATCCTACTAGGATTAAATCTAATTATGAAATTTTGAGAATTTTCTTTTGGCAGCCGGCATACTTATTCTAAAGGTGTTACCATCAATTTTAGTGCCAACCCCTCATTGAAGCAAATGCTAAAATTTAGAGCAAGTAATGCACAATTTAAAGGTATTAAATTTATTGATATATGAGTGGCTGCATTCAAGGGGTGTAAACAAAATGAAGAGCAGAACAAGATATGTTTAGGCTTGATAAAAGAGACAGGGCAGTTACAAGGATCTTGTGGCTAAATACCATCTTCAGCTGATAAGACAAAACAAGAAACAGCAATGAGTATGTAAAAGAATGATCTATACTGACGTAACTCCACAGAACTGAAAAGATTTAGATACGTTAGGATTCTTAAAAACAATCAAAGTTATTTTCTATTATTTTACGGAAATCGTATAAATTTAAGTGCGAAAAAATAAAATAAATTTGCTTTTATTTTAGTAAAAGTTAAAGTATTATTATTATGAATTACAAATACATTTAAAGTAACAACTAAGGAAATTTTAAGCATTTTATCTGAATTTAAAAGTTATGCACACAAAATTTAATGGAAAATTATGATCTAAGAATTACATCGTAATCACATTTATCGGGAAAACCCAAACATTAGTTGTTTTAGTGCGTTTTTAGTGCATTGTTAATATTGCGAAATAAAATTAAAATTAATTTGTTCTAACTAAACATGTAAATGACTCATAGCAGGAATCACCTATGTTAGTCAAAACTCTTAAATTTCTTTGATTTAATAACTGCGCGTTATAAAACTGATAATGTATTTCCCCCTTCTTAAAAGTAAAATTAATAAATATAATTGATTGTTTTTTAAATTGTTAATAAAACACAAATTTTAGCTTTGTATTAACAATTAATAACTTTTACCTTTTTTAAATTCCAAAAATATACTTTTATTAAATTTATAAGGTAAAAAAAGTTAACCTTTATACTTCTATTAAGAAAATGCAGTATAAATCAATCAGTGCAGCAAAACTCAATAGTCATATCATTCACTAATCTACTTATAACTCATCCAAATAAGAAAGAAACATATGAAGTGCAAATTGTTAGTTTTGGTATGGAAGTTTTAGTCCTGACGAGTGGGCATCTCCAACGTGCCGCTCCGCGGCCCGATACGTGGGACCGGGGAGGGGTAATTTGGGGGGGGGGGGGCATAGGGGGCTAGACTCACCCTGCTGNAGGGACTACAATCCGGTGGAAGATTTTATTAATTTTATCTAAGTCTGAGGGAGGGGGGGGGGGGGGTTAGTCAATTTGCCCCAGGCAGCACAAGATACGTCTCAAAATAAGGAATGAATTTGATAAATAATTAACCTTCTTTGGTACATACATATCGGAGGTAGGAAATAACCTGTGTACATTTTTACGTGGATGGCAATATATTTAAATCAAATGGTATTACATTTGTGAAAAAAGAGATGTTACATTCCTTATTTACAAATAAACATATTTTTACAAATTAAGAATATCTATGGTGTTAACAAAATGTCGGTAAATTTATTAAAGTATACCTATAAATATCAAAACTCAATCATTTTACACACTTGAGAATTTAATTTTAAAAAATTTAGATTGGTTATTATTTTCTTTTTTTAAAAATGAAAATATATTTTTGTTTTTGCTTTGCGAAAACTAAAGTGGGTGTGCATTTTTATGAGATTAACAATTTAAGAAAAAAGACTCTCAAGTCTGTTATAGACGTGAAAAACCGGTTGCGAGATTCTTCTTTAGATAAAAGAATTCTTTGTTTTACGATTTTCTGATAATACAGATTCTTCTTTAGATAAAAGAATTCTTTGTTTTACGATTTTCTGATAATACTTAAATAAAAAAACAAGGCAAAAATGTGTTTTACATTTTTGATGAAGATAGAAATATAACAACTTCCTTTAATATAAAATATTTATATATCATGAATAGAGTTTTTGTTGTACATGTAAGATACTGTTTTTAACAATTTTTAGAGAACAAAAGTTGGAATTCAAGGACATGAAAAGGGGAAAATCTAAATTAATTCTCTAGCGTAGAAATCATCCCTAAAGTAAATTCTTTAGTGACAAAAGTGATATAATTAGAGATAATTTAGATTGTGTAATTTAAGGTCCCGTTTAGAGGGAAAAATGTAGTTTAGGGGCGTGAAAGGGAGTAGACTAGGCTTATAATATATAGCTGATAAATACTTCTCAAAACTTTATGATGTTAGAAACGGAAATATCATTACATAGATACTTCTTTTTAAAGTTAGGAATTGTGATGAGATTTTGCAATAGCAGGTAGAAACTATTGCAAAGGACCTACCATTACCATCCCAATAACATCGGGTCATTTATTCTAGTAATAAATTAAAAAGCAATGCTAAATCAATCAGGTTTAAAGACTGGCATAACTTACTGTCAAAAGTGTGCACCCTCTCCACGATCCCCTGCACCTCGATTTGATATTCATAGCTCTCTCCTATTGGACTGTTTGCACCAACAAGTTTCCGTCTTCTCCGAATGGTCACAAGCAAGTTGCGTGTGTGGTTCATTGTTGACAATGTGCATTTGCTGTATGGATCCCTGGGACGAAATGATAATTCCAACCTGTGATTTTCCTTTATGGCCTGTCATCAGATTAAGTAGCTTGTGATAGGTGAGAATTACCAAGGCGATGAAATAAAAACAACCTATTGCAATTCTTATCATTTGCAATTAAAAGTCTAATTTATTTATTTATTTATTTAGGCATTTTTATATAGCGCTTATCATAAAGCTCTAAGCGCTTTACAGTTATTAAAACATGTAAACTAAGTAAATACAAATGAGACACTAGGATAGTAACTACTATTCTATAGAAACAATGAAAATGGCTATAAAAAGAGGACACTTTGACACTTCAGGATTAAACCGAAACAGAAAATTAGGTAGGGCAAGGAGGGTGCATCACAGGTCATAGGCGGACCTAAACAGATGAGTTTTAAGGGACTTTTTGAAAATGGACGAGGTTTCACTATGACGTATATGGAAGGGGAGCTGGTTCCAGAACGTGGGCCCATGGAAGCAGAAGGAGCGTTCACCGATGGTCTTAGTTTTAGTTCTTGGGATTGAGAGGGTTCTACTGTCAATGGAAGAACGTAGTTGTCTTGTGGGGATGTAAGGAAGCAACAGTTCAGAGAGATAGACAGGAAAGTGAGGGTCAGTGAACGAGTTGAAGCAAAGATTGGAAGACTTGTATTTGATGCGAGAGGATATTGGAAGCCAGTGGAGTTGCCGCATGTGTGGTTGAATGTGGTCATGTTTCTTTAATTTAAAAATGAGTCTGCATGCTGAGTTCTGTGCCTTCTGAAGTTTTTCTATGTGGTGTTGAGGAATGCCTGAGAGAAGAATGTTACAGTAGTCAAATTTTGAAAGAATGAGTGAAGAGACGAGAGTTTTTGTGGCATCAAAGGAGAGGAGGTGTCTAATGGTGCTGATTTTTCTAATTTCGTTATATGCTGATCTGCATATATTCAAACTAATCAAACTAATTGAAAATAATCAAAACAGAGAAGATATCTTTAAAGATATTAATCCAAGACTGGGAAAGGCATTGAACATTAAAAAAAGATTAGATTTTTTTAATTAGTTTTAGATTAGATTTGGTCAGCAGATCATCTATAATATTTAACATATCTTGGGCATGAAATAATAGTCTATAAATATCTCTGGAAGACAACAATTTCAGACAGTGTACAATTTAATCACAAATAAACATGAATATTTATTCTATGCCTTTTTTCATGGGGCTATTTTGAACTCTGCATTAGGTAAGACAGAAAGACAAGCAGACCAAGAAATGTGTATGTCTGATGGGATAAACTTGTTAAATTTTATTATTTGACTCATATAACTTTAAAAATGTCTCCCAAAATGAAATGATTTATTCCCCTTTATTTCAAACTGTTGTGATACACCTGTGAAAGTTTTCTAACGCATCCATGTGTGTTACAACAGACCCATTGAAAGCTAACACATCCATGTGTATTACAACAGACCCATTAAAAGCTGACACATCCATGTGTGTTACAACAGACCCATTGAAAGCTGACACATCCATGTGTGTTACAACAGACCCATTGAAAGCTAGCACATCCATGTGTGTTACAACAGACCCATTGAAAGCTGACACATCCATGTGTGTTACAACAGACCCATTGAAAGTGGACACACCCAAGTGTGCTATAACAGACCCATTAAAAAAGGTAATGCTCCAAAAATCTAGACATATATGGATTTGGGTGATTAAAATATTGCCTCTTTATGGAGACATACATATATATAAAAATAAATAGATATACTGTTTACATTGTGCAATACATTTTTTAAGCTGGCGATGATGTTATTCTGACGTAAGAAACAACTAAATCTGAATGCTAAATATGCACGCATACTTGATAACAAAAAGATTCGACCTACGGTACAAATGTCTTGGACGCCACCAAGTGTCTCTATCACTTTATCAACATTCTTGATCACACCGGGGTAGTCGATGCAAGTAAATTTGTGACTGGTGTTAATTGCTGCCGTACAAACTTTATCGCCATCAGACCAGCCACCTATGTCCACACTCACTTCCTTTAAAAGGAAAATAAAAATAATATACAGTGTACATATATAAAAATGAATTATTTAATATAATAATAAAAAATATAATTTGAAAAAAACAAAAAAACACACCTGAAAAATGTACTAAAAAGTATAAAATAAATGTTCTCCAAAACTTTTGTCACAGTCATATGAATAAATTAATAAAGTGTGGGGCGCCCATGAACTCAATGTTTCCTTGTTTCAGCTGCTCAGTTGGACATGAGGAGGTAGGTCAAAATTGTTATGCAAGATTTGACCCAGGCACAATCACAAGCATATAAAAAACAACAACTTAAAACTACTAAGATTTATATGCAAACAAGTACCACACATTCAACAGTACTGAAAAGAAAAGACTATACAAACAAGTAAAGCCCATTCCAAAAGGAGGAGCACTGGAAGAAAAGGCTAACAATATTTCCTTGTCGTCATCTATAAATTTATTTCTCCTGATAGAAACTGAAATACCCACTATTAGCTATGTTGATTTACCACAGTATGCATAGCGTAAATGTTCATCACCCCCCTGTGTTTATATCACTTGCATACATTTCAAAAATATCACTGAAAAATGGTTACTGCAGAAGCCTGGAAAAGGAGACTATTTTCTTGCGTAATGCAGGCACAGTTCTTTGCCTGATCTTCACAGTTTAATACTGCCATTGACATTTCCCACAAATATGCATCAGGTGGCATAAGATCAGAGGTGTGAGGTGGCATGGCAAGTCAGTACCACATAAAAGAATTCAACAAGGAAAGTCACCCTGTCCTGTTGATACCACTGTCTATTCATGTGAAGGTTCCTTGCATGACAGAGCTGTTACAAATTAAATCACCAAACTCATGTGTAGCAGGTCTCAGGCCACACAAAATCAAGGAAGTGGCCAGGTCTTACATTTGCCCATAAGCTTTTTTTTTCCTCTTAAAAACTAAAAAAGTTGGCTATTTTTTTTAATTGATAATTTTTAAAAATAAAATTAGTTGTGGCTACATTCTTTTTTCTTTCTTTTATTCAATTCTTTCATTTTTTTTCAACTTACATTAACAAATAGGAAAATGAAAACTGTAATAACACAAAATTTCTCTGATTGCATGATAATATGAAGAGCAACTAAAATATGTATTCTTTTAAAATGGTCTTTGTAAGCTACCAAAACTGGCTATCGGGAAATTTTTTTTGGCAAATTTCTTTTTGAATGAACTATACTATATAGTAAAACAAAATAATGCATTCAAAAAGAAATTTGACGAAAATTTGAACTTGTGAACTGAAAATAAAATTTAATCAAATTTCCATTCAATCAAACTTCCGTCGATAAATAGTCCATCAACTAAATTTCTTTCAAATAAACCAAAACTAAATTGAAAGGCTGTTGTTATCGAGATGATTATATCAGCCTTTCAACTTACCTCAGCTAGGTCTCCTGATGATTCAGTTTCTTTATGCACAAACTCAAAGTCATTAAACAAATCCTCTTCAACGGACTTATCGTGTAACGTCTTCTTGTCAATTCTTGTTATGATTTCATTCTCCTCAGCATCATCTGGTTCGTCTCGCTCCTCCTCCACGGCATCCATCTGGACACTGAAGTCTGCCTCCTCATCCTCGTCAATGTCTTCTTCTGCAACCTCAGACTCTAACCCCTCAAGGTCATCAACAGTTTTATCAGAAGTCTCAATGTCTCTCTTTTTCTTCTGAGATGAGGCCATTCAACTGCAAGATTTAACATTTTGAGCATACTTGTTTAAAGCCTCCAAAATTGCCATAAAAATATTATAAGGAATAAGGAAAGCCAGTTAGTAATTTTTTTAAAGATACATAAACATCTAAGTAAGTAAAGTCTAAAAATGTTTTTAAAAAAATCTTATTTATTGAGTGTGTCCAAGAATGTTCAAATCCTTTCTTTGTACAAGCAGATGTTTGCCTCTGAAAAAATTGCCAGGCAATTGCCCATGGTGTTTCCATTGTGTTTCTATAGTTCAATGCACTGAATCAAAACCAAATGAATATTGTAATCATTACTAATTCCCTAATGGAATCACATTTACCTTTTTTATTTTTATGCTGTCTTTTTTTAGATTCAGTCTTGCCTAAGTGTAAGAATATCTATGAGTTAGGGCTACAGTGTTTTAAAAGTTCATGTAGACTTTTGAAATGTACATTTTGTAACAATGAAGTATATTGAACTTAATTTTAGAAGGTGAAAGAAAAGGGGAAAAATTAAAAATCGACTGGATATTATTAAACCCAAGATAAAATCGGTGAACAAAAGCTTGCTCTGGACCAATTGACTACAGAAGGCCATGGTGATGGGTAAGCACCACATAATAATTTTAAGAGCTTTTTATGAAATCTAAGTATGAGAAGTTTGCATTTTACTTTAATGCAGTAGATGCAAATTCATAATTAACATGACTGTGGAACATCTCCAGAAATTGATGATATTGTTTACAAAAGTATGGGGGGAGGGGGGGATAGTGAGAGAATAAAAATATAATTTATTTTTTTGTACAACACAATCACAAATCCAATAAAAGTAATCTAACTTTTAAACCCCACATAGCTCACTAACCACGGGATTCAAGAGATTTAAAAATGTGGATTTAAAAAAAAATACAAAAGCCTACTTACAACAAATCCCAAAGCTATTTACACAAAATGTTGTAAAACCCAGGTCTTACCCAACCTTGTTATAAACAAAATCACACAATCAGCCCAATGACCAGTTTTGTGTATTGTAGGATGAGAAATGCCTTCAGCATGTTTCGCAATGGGTAAAAGTGAAATAATGCTTCTTTCATCCATTGAATCAAGGACCAAGCCTACTAATAAGTTAATTTGGCATGATTGTAGCTTAAGACTAAAGCATAATTTGGGATGATAATAATAATAATTGTAACTTTATCATATCCCCCAGCCGGACATGCAGCAAGAGCCAATCCCAGCCACATATGCAGCAAGAGCCATAGTTGCCCCTTTCCCTCCTGTAGACTACTGTACAGTGTACTCGGTTGCGAAGGTAGAGCACAGGCTTGCTTCCTTACACTTACATTGGCCCAGTGGCAACTAGCCTAGCTGCTAGCTAGGCTAAGATAGGCCATGATAAATAAAAGCTGATTTTGCCCTAGGCCTTAGCCTACCAGTTCTCAATTTACTTTGTAAAGTTACAAAGTACTTAAAGTTAGTAAAGTACTTAAGTGAAAGTTAATTAAGTAGGCCTAGTATTAAGTCGTTAAATTTAAATTCTAAACAACTAAAGTTACAATTTAAATTAAAAACAAATGAGTCTGAATAACTGAGTCAGTACATTGAACATTGTCTTGTCACTTGTTTTATTATTTTTAAAATTTAACCGAAGTCAATTTAAAATATATTTAAATACAGCCATGGATGAAAATGTTAGTTCCTATCAAATATATCCGTAATGTTAAAACAACATTTGGATTGAATAATAAAAAATAAAATATTGGAATTTAACTATTAAAATGCGACCATTAAATGCTATAAATTCACTATGTAAATGCTAGCAGTAAAAAATGAAAATGAGTTGTAAAAGTTGCTTTAATTCCTTTCGATGTTTTAAAATTAATTGTTAATCATAATAGGAGGTTAAAGCCAAATGACGCGTTTTTACTAAAAGAATATACAATGTTTATCTTCTGATATTTATGGCTACTCCCAGACAGGGGCTTAACCCATAAGGATGTGTTCATTTGTAAGCCATTAGTCTATTTAATAACCTTAAGATAGTTTCTCTAGATCTGTTGCAAGAGTTTAATATTAATCTATAAGAAGTTAAGTGAAGGAGATATATTTTAATGTCTGGAAAGTAACATTTTGCCTTTAAGGGTATTTCATTTTAAAATATACTAACAAGTATTTTAAAAGAAAATATTGTTGTATATTTTTGGCTTAAAAATAATTTCCCTTTTGCACTACTCCGCACCATCGCAAACTCTATTTTCTCATCAATTGAAATATTGTTTGGCGTGAAAATTTAATAGTTAGTTTTATGTTCACTGGTGTCGAGTCCTGGGAAAAAATGTAAGTGAACGCACATTTAAGATGCCAAAATAAATATGTATATATTAATTAGAATGAAAAAGTACAGGAACGCCGTTCCCAGTCGTTCCCGCAGGACTTGAACCCTGATTTAATGTGTCGCAATATGAAAAATATGTTTGCGTGGGTTAGTGTATCAAATATTCCTTGTAAGTGATGAAAATTTTTTATATGCCTTCAATATATTGGGAGGCGTTCAAGTGAAATGAAATGTTAACAGATGGATATGCATGAATACTTTCACATGTACGTGAGTACCTTCACGGGTGCGTGAGTACCTTCAAGGGTGCGAGAGTACTTGCACACGCGCGTAAGTAGCTTCACGGGTGCGTGAGTACCTTCACGGGTGCGTGAGTACCTTCACGGGTGCGTAAGTACCTTCACGGGTGCGTGAGTACTTGTACACGCGCGTGAGTACTTTGACAGGTGTGTGGAATTGAATACGAGTACTTAAACTCAGTTACTGTAATAGACAATAATTGTTCAATTATTGAACACAGGTTGTTAAACCGTGGCAGGAAATATTTATGCCGTCTTTAATGTGTCAGTGAACCATTAGGAATTTTAATTTGGTTATGGACCCAAATATAATTAGACTATGGTGCAATGTGTTGACCAGGGTTATGCAAAGTGGATGGCAAAGGGGCACGCGCCGTGTGCGCTTACATCACGGAGGTCGAAATCGTATTCACCGAGGGCCTGGAAAAAAAATCCACTTACTTCACAGAAGCAAGGAGCGTAAAATTCCCCTTTTTACTGGTCCGCCCTGGTCCGCCCTGGTCCGCCCTGGTCCGCCCCTGGGTGACACTTTAAAAAAAAGATAATATGAGGGAAGGTCTATGTAGGCTTCGTCCCGGGTGCTGCACGACTCCAGTCGAGGATTTTAAACATTAATCCACGTGCGTTCTCTGGACCATGTGCCTGCCACAGTTTGAACATGGTGGTTGCTGATGCTGCCAGCTCGTCATATATGAATCCACGATGTTGTCTGGAGTGTTACAACGTATGTATTTGGTTGTTCTCTTTTTTCGCCACACCGCTGGGATATTTAAAAAACCATGTTCCTAATTTGACCATAAAGCCTCTCAATGAAACCCGTTGGCAGAGGCGTAGCGATGGGGGGGGGGCAGGGGGGACAGATGTCCCCGGGCGCAAGCTAGATAGGGACGCCAAAATGTGATTTGATATTATATTATTGGTAAAAATAATGGTTTTTACAGTTGAAAAAAAAAGAAAAGGGGGCACTATAAAATTGATCTTGTCCCCGGGCGCGAATCTTGTCCCCGGGCGTCAAACACCCTCGCTACGCCACTGCCCGTTGGGAACGCAGAATCGACAGTTGGCGACCATTGAGACGCCAATTGGAAGAGGTCAGAGCAGCGTTGTTCCTAATCTCTGAAGAACCATTACATGGTGATCCGAAGATTAGAAATGTATAAAATCATAACACGTCCTCCAGAGCCTACGCCGTAATCGGAAAAAGAGCGGAGCCATACAGAGACAGGGAATGGGGGCACCGAACGGGTTCTTCACACAGTGCCAAAGTTTACCTAAGGAAGGAAAATTACAATTAGGCATAGGCAAAGGTAAATAGGTTTGTTAGATTATCTTTCTTTTTTTTTTGGTCTGCGTCAACCACCATCGTGGCAAGAGTTGTTCAGTGCAGCAGGACAGCTGTAAGTCGACTGACACATCAACCTACTGGCCGATAATGTGGAGAAACGCTTGTTTCATAACAACGGCATTCGTTTTTTACGTCAAAATACTCACTAATTAACGCCGAACTCTCAGTGGGAGACTAGGTTTGTTATGATTATTTCTGGATGACGGGTTCAACATTATCAACAATACCTTAATAATTATTTATTGTTGATAATGTTGAATTGTGTAAATGTCATCATTGTTCCTCGACATCGCTTTTAAATCTTGTGCTGCGTTTTACAATTTTTTTGTTTAGCTTTCGGCCGAAAGTCTCAAAAGGCTTTTTGGTTTCAGTCGGGTTGCCAGCTGCACCTCCCCGCGATGCCTCACCGGTAAAAGCGGACAGCCGAAAAAGATTCACAAAAAAAGATGTAAATCTATTTATAGGCCTACCCAGTGAGGACTCCACTGATCTATTTTTTTAATGAATACAGTCGGCCTATATATATATACATGTCTTCTTCTTCTATATCTTAAGGGCCCACGATCAATTTATTGATCATTTTGGCTCCTATGCATGTAGATGGGATTTGCAATGTTTCTGTTCCTGGTGTATTACACATCTTATTGTATTTCTACTGCTATACGCTTAGTCTTGAACAGCTATAAAATAATTTATAGAAGACAGTTTTTGAGATCAGAAATATTAGTTAGAGATTATTAAACATTTATTGGTGTTGGAAAAAGAATAACGCTTATTATCACAACAATCAAGCCTCTGTTCGTTATTATCGTAGCCACTGTTATTTATTATCGTAGCCACTGTTAATTATTATCGTAGCCAGCATTAAGTATTATCACATAAAGTATAGGCCAGCATGCACGATTTAAACACAAGTCAATTCCTTGGTAGCCTGGAATCTTGCAGCGTCATCTACATTCTAATCTCCGTGCTGGGCCTGCTGACCAACGCCATCAACATTCGCACATTCATCGTCATGGGCCTCGCCGACGGAATGACCGTCTCCTTCTTATTTCTGCCCGTGGCGGAATTTAACGTCTCGCTCGTCGCGTTCGCGCAGGGGACTTCCGGGCTGCTCTACATCGTCGAGTTCCGGCACGACGCGTGGTTCCCCGTGGATCCTTACTGGACGGGGGGTGTTCTTCGCCTTCACGATTGTGCCCCTGTCGGCGACCATCACCCTGAGCACCAGCTACATCGCCGTGGCGAGGTGCCTTTGCGTGGCGGCGCCGCTCTACTTCAAGCAATGCTTTTCTCGTTGTGGCTCAGCCGTCGCCGTGTCTTGCTTCTTCGCAGTCAGCCTCATCGCCCGCGCCCCGGTGTTCGTTTACATGGGGATGCCCGCGACGTTTAACGCAGCCCGCAATATGTCCAGGCCATCCTTGTGGATTATTCCCAGGCGAGCGCTGGTTAAGAAAATCGTCTGGAGCGTGCTCACCGTGATCTTGCCGTTTGTCACCAAGGCGGTTGGGATCATTTCCGTGGTGGTTATGTTTCGCGCGTCGAAGGAAGCTTCTCGCTTCAGGAACGCGTCCGAAGCCGTCGCGGGGATGAAAACTCAGAGCGTCACCACCGGTTGTTAATCGGAACGCGGAACCGGCCGGAACGGTGGCAAGCTTTCCAAACGAGATCTTCAGGTCGTCCAGCAGGTGGTGTTCATCGCCTACATCCCGTGCAACAGTCCCACGATAGCGTTTAACTTGACTTGGGGTTTTTCGAACCTGATTTTTCTTTGGGGGGCGCCTACAGAAACCTGTACCTGACCATCAGCAATGTGAGAATCATCTTTGAAATGGTGAACTGTGCCATCAACCTGCCGATATATTACAAGTACAATTCCAAGTTTAGGCGCATGTGTATCTTTCCTTGACCGCTGTCTATAGTTTATACTCATTGTGTCATCTAGAGCAGGCCTGCTCAACTCAAAATGTATCGCGGGCCGTTATACTTAATGAAAGACTTTTTCGGGCCGAAATAAAATTGGGCAGGTGGGAAAGCTATTAAGAAAATAATAATACAAGAGAAGAAATTCGTTACTTCGCAGGCCGCAAAGTGGATAATGGCGGGCCGCATGCGGCCCGGGTACCATATGTTGTGCAGGCCTGATCTAGGGAAATTTGACTATATATATGTAGGGATAGCAACCGAGGGGGGGGGGGCGACGAAACAAAAATAACAAAAGGTGTTGTACATGATTTTTAGTATCCTTGTGTACATCATTTTGTTACAAATTATTGTGAATATTTGGCAGACCCATGAATAGCTTTTAACGAATTTCCATTCTCAAGAAGCTTATCATAAAATTGAGGACACGTTAGATCAATGTTGAATTGAACAATTAAAAAATCTTTTGGATTGGTTACTTTCAGCTGTGATTTCTCAGGCGTTCAAGCCTGTTTCCCCTGATAGAAAGCTCGGTCCACAGGTGCAGGAAGGCTGAATGGAAACTCAAGCAGTGGTTGCAATGTACAGAGAGTACCCCCTAAACAATCTCTCCACATTCTCGATACCCTAATAATCTCTCAACATTCTCGACCCCCTAACAATCACTCCAAATTCTTGATCCCTAAGTCTCTCCACATTCTCGACCCCTAGAAATCTCAACACACCCTTGTCCCCCTGACATCTATTCACTCTTCCGACCCCTTCCAAGCATTGAATTATTTGATGGCGAGCATATCTCAGAAGAGACAATGACGATCCCCCCATGTCGCTGGCCTGTCTGAATCCTCAGTTCACGTGGCTGGAGCAGGTGTGAGACACGACTTGAAACAGGGACATACTATCAAGCTGATCACAGAGCGACCAGTGGCGTTGGCGCGTCTATTGATCTTGTAGTGCTGGAAAAAGACTCCTTTTGTACTAGACTCGCTGACACCACTGTGCATTCTTTCAGTACTTACCCGAGTCCATCACTACATGTCACAATACCGTTAGACTTAGGTGCACGTCCATCTACTTGAATTCAGCGAGAATCATTCAATATTTGTATTAAGTTTTTTGAGGGTTCAGTTAAAAAAAAAAAAATCAGAACTTTGGCTTACTTGCCTTTCTGTGCACACCAAGGTTTATTTTATTTTTTTCTGTTTGTTTTATTTTGTTGTTGCAAAAACGTATGGACGTACGGGTAAGTCAGCTTTTGGCAGGTTTTTTAAAGGTCTGCAAAGACTAAGTCGTGTATCACATATTGAGTGATTAAAATGTCTGCCAGGACTAAACTGTGGAACAAAGTTGATTAGATTACAATGTTTAACAAGTCAAAGCTGTGTATCAAATGTGACCTCTTCAATGCAGAGAGAAACCAGATACAAATGAAGAGGTTGAAACAAAAGATATTGGTCTCGGGCAGAACTTTGTGCAAGTTTATATGGGGGAGAGGGGGGGCAATATTGGCGAATTGGAGAAGTTTGTTTCGTGGAAGGGGGCTCGTCAAAGTATTTATCCGCCCCGGGTGGCAGTAAGGTTAGCAACGTCACTGACAGGGTGACATTTTGTCACTGTTCATTTATCGATTTTGGTAATTATTCTGAACAGAGCTTGGAAAAAAAAATATGGTTGATATTTTTGTGGAAGTAAATTTGGAATTATGATAGCAAAGCATCGATGATCTTGGAGATGATTATGGTGATTGAAGGATTCGTCTAGATGTGTCTTGCGACAGAAATTAAATAAACAGCTGAAATTCATATTTCTGTAGATAATTATTTTTATGTGTTGGATAACAATGTACGATAGATCTATATATCTTGTTTGAATGCGTTCAAATAGATCGATATTACTTGATTGTATGGGTTCAAATAGATCGATATCATTTGATTGTATGGGTTCAAATAGATCGATACCACTTGAGTGTATGGGGTTCAAATAGAACTACTTACCCCGATTAAATTTAACAATGATACGTGCTTGAATGTGTCTGAATTCGTATGTCATTTGTGGTAGTATATTTTAGTTAAACTCAAGAAGTAAGTTTAAAAACGTATAGTCCATTCATTTATCTTTCATTTGATACCTCATTTCGTCTTACAAACCCAGCAATAATATTTTAAATAGTTTTTTAATCCCAACCTCTCACTTCTGAAGCCCGGGTACGAATAGCCACTTCGTAACTGTTAAGCGCTACAAGTAAATACCCTTCAAATGTAAATACAATAAATAAATGGGCCCCTAATGCACAAGTCATCATGAAACACAATCTTTTAATATGTTTCGATCTTAGAATAAATATTTTAACATCGGGAGACATTGAAATAAATTAAGTTAAAAGAAAACAATTATACTTGGCTACAAACTAAGATGACTCATCGATTTGTTTGATATTGAATAGTTTATTGAACATTCTATTGAACATTTTATTGAACAATTTATTGAGCTTTTTAGTGAACATTTTATTGAACATTCTATTGAACATTTTATTGAACAATTTATTGAGCTTTTTGGTGAACATTTTATTGAACATTCTATTGAACATTTTATTGAACAATTTATTGAGCTTTTTGGTGAACATTTTATTGAACATTCTATTGAACATTTTATTGAACAATTTATTGAGCTTTTTGGTGAACATTTTATTGAACATTCTATTGAACATTTTATTGAACAATTTATTGAGCTTTTTGGTGAACATTTTATTGAACATTCTATTGAACAGTCTATTGAGCAATTTATTGAAGATTTTATAAAATGTCTGCTTTAGATCAAATGGTAAAATAAAATCCTTCATTAAATCTAAATGCCCTCCCCAAATCGGCCCCCCGCCCCCCCCTCCTAACAAAATATAATAAATTCGTCAAGCCCTGACAGCCCCCACCATCGGGTGTGCCTCGCCCACAACTCCACTTGACTTGGCAGACGGGGTCCACCCTAACCAAAGAGCACCCGGTCCGTTGGTAGTATTGCACTCGGGGTAATAGAAACTTCAGTATGACGCACTTATATGACAGCATTAACCAGTGTGTCACACTGTCGGCACTACTTGATTTCAATTCTATACGCCATTTTGTTTTCAAATCCCGTAGTTTTGAAAAAAATAAATATTAAAAAAAAATTTAAATAGTGCAGAGGTTCTCAGCCTAATATGTTATTACTTGATCAATAAATTTTTCTCTCTTAAAGATTCTCTATAAAACTTTTAGATTGTGTCTAAGGAAGAAAAAGTGCAATAGAACCTGTGAAAGTTTCAGTGGAAGATTTATATTTCCAACAAAAAAAAAAAAAACAAAAACAAAAAAACAACACCTAACTTTCAAAGAGGTTCTCAAAATTTTACTTGATCAATAAATTTTTCCCTTTTAAAGATTCTCTATAAAACTTTTAGATTGTGTCTAAGGAAAAAAAAGTGCAATAGAACCTGTGAAAGTTTCAGTGGAAGATTTATATTTCCAACAAAAAAAAAAAAAACAACAACAAAAAAACAACACCTAACTTTCAGAGAGGTTCTCAAAATTGTGTGAATCCCCGAACTAAATAAACAATTCTTGAAAAGAGCTCTTTATCCTTCAGTTTTCCTCTCTCCCGAATCCGCATCTGATCACAAGGCCAAATATGTCACATTTGTTGTCACAGAGCAAACTGGCAGCAAGAGTTCCCCTCCAGGTGACCTGAATGTGTTTGAGCTTTGGCCAGTTGTGCGAACCAGAGTAGGACTAACACCGTCGCCAGGGCGAACTGTGGCTTGTGTGGTCGGCAGTGATGATCGGTTCTTATTTTTGTGTATTGACTTTTGATGTCCGAGGTTGGTCTCATTATCTGTATGGCATACGCCAACATAAGTGTGCGATAGTATGTGATGGGCCTTCAGTGAGATGGTGAAAAAGTGAAAGGATACAGGCTGCATACGGAAGATTTCAAGTTTTGTGTTTTAAACAAACTGAGGTATTTTACAATGGTCCTGTGATATGTTACAATGGCCCAGCGATATGTTACAATGGGCCAGGCATATCTTACTATTGTCCAATCATATGTTACAATGGTCAAGTCATAGGTTACTTTTGTCCAATCATATGTTACAATGGTTCAGTCATGGGTTACTATTGTCCAATCATATGTTACAATGGTCAAGTCATAGGTTACAATTGTGAGTCATAGGTTACAATGGTCAAGTCATATGTTACAATGGTGAAGTCATAGGTTACAATGGTCAAGACATACGTTACAATGGTCAAGTCATAGGTTACAATGGTCAAGACATACGTTACAATGGTCAAGTCATAGGTTACAATGGTCAAGTCATATGTTACTATTGTCCAGTCATATGTTGGAGGGTTGCGGAGGGGGTGGCAGTTTCGGCCAACTGCTGAGTTATTTTTGTGGAAGGGGGTGGTGGTCCGAAAAGCTTGTTCCGCAACAAGTGGCACTAACCCTAGCTACGCCACTGTGCGTACATCAAATATTAAGAGTTGAGCTACATACAATCCGTGGCAGAGGTTTCCCAAATGCCGGATCGCGACCCGGTTACTGCTTCACAAAAGGGAAAAGACCTAGTCGCGAAAAAGAAAAGTGCTCGAAAACTGAGCTACGCATTTGTTTGAGAGTTTTTTTTAAAGTTCTCCATTCGATGCCCTAAAAATAACAGTAAGTTTCGTTGACTCGGGACAAGATGGCGAATGTTTGGCCATCTTATTGTTCGGAGATGATTAGCAAACAAGAAAGGTCCGTTAAAAAAATATCCATTCAATCATCACAACGTTAAGTTGGTGACGTCACATGCATGGCCAAAAGTTGTGTGGTCTTTTAATGTAAAATGTCCACCCACCTGCGCTTGGAAATGTGAACGTAAAAGACCCCACAAAAACAAGTAGACAGGTGAAACAGAAATTAAGGCCAAAAGGTTTATAACCTGGATTTGAGCATACAAGGTTTCTTTCTTTCTCTTAACCTCAAGATGCTTTGATCTAAGGTATTTGAAATTGGTCCAATGATTTTACAAAAGGGCGGGATATTTTAAATAAGTTTGATTGTTTGTTGTGATTTTTGTTGTGATTTACGTTGATATATTCTGACTTAACTCTGTTTGTAGGTTGATGTATAGTTGCTGGTAGTGTGCTATTTGAGTGTGGAATCATCATTTAATTTTACATCAAAGTAAACGTGTTAAAATTCATCGAATCTCAACAAACTGTCATCAAATCTGAAGAAAACCATCAAATCTCAAAAAAACTTCATCAAATCTCAAACAACTTCATCAAATCTCAACAACAATTCATCAAATCTCAACAAAAACATCAAATCTCATCAAAAATTCAACAAAACCAAAAATAAAATTTAAAAAATTTGATGAAATCTAAAAAGCAAAAAAACAACAAAACAAAACAAAGTTCATTTTTTTAAAAGCCCACATAACAACTCAAGAAATATTAAACGCTTCATTCATGACGTATGGTTGTCACCTTTCGCAATAGGAACTATTTTCAGGTAAATAGGTCTACTGAACACTATAAGCGTAAAACATACTTAAGAAATAGCCATTATCTCATCCATTCATTATCCCCCCCGCCAACACATTACCCTCTCTCAATCCCACTATTTTAACTCTTACAGAAAGCAACAAGTCCTCTCCTCAATATTGACTCTCCGACAGTGTTCAAACAGACCTCCTTGCCCATACCGTGACGCATAAATTCACGACCATTGAACATACCAGCAGAGGCGTGACGAGTGGTGCATGTTAGGCCCAAATGACATACTGCCAACCGAAATGCTGCTCCTTGCTTAGTGTTCTCGGCGAATGACGCAAGCTGAATCGGAATAGGAAACAAGGAAATATCATGTTTTGCATGGCTTCTGGATTTGTTCATGTGTTCAACGCCATGAGTGTACGTGTTTGCTGCATCGTTGCCATACTCTCAATCGCCAAATTCGCCACAGGTAATTTACCAATAGTGAAAACATCAACTTTCCTTTCCAATAACAGAAATTCAAAATGAATAAAAAGTAAACTTTAGAAAGTATACATTTAAAGTGACGTTAGTTATTGTTAGGCGATCGTCCAGAAAAAAGTAAGTTCATAGATTGTTTATTACCACAGTGATAATCTCTATTTCAGCATCTAATCTCATTCAAGTTCATCTATAGATTGTTTATTACCACAGCGATAATCTCTATTTCAGCATCTAATCTCATTCAAGTTCATCTATAATAAAATCATAGCATTTTTTTTTTTCATTTCCGAAATCTTAGATTCAATTATTCAAGAAATATTGCTCTCTTATTTCTACATCATTCAATTATTTGTACGTTTTCAGTCAATGAATATTGATTATTTAAGTAAACGAACTTTATAATATCTGCCAAAGAATTATATCATCTCTGACAATGAAGTATATAATCACTAGCAATGAAGAATATAATCTCTTCGAATGAAGTATATAATCTTCAGCAATGAAGTATATAATCTCTTCGAATGAAGCATATAATCTCTAACAAACCACGAACTATTTACGTTGAACTAACTTAGGAAATCACGACTGATATACATGAAAAATGTGCTGGAGGAATATTTACCAACTTTAAATAACTCTAAGAGTGTACACCAAACACATTTATGAACCAGTATTTCAATAAAAAGTGTATAGTAAACAAATAGCAGAAATGAAGACAATCTACAATGTTGTTTTTATTATTTTTCAAACAGAAAATTAATACAATTTGAAGTTTCTTTGCTTCGACTTATAATTCTTTTCGTATTTTTGATCGTGTTTTTATTTGGGTTTTTTTGGTTTGTGTTTGTTTTTTTTTGTTTTTTTGTTATTTTGGTTTGTGTTTGTGCATGCCTTAAATAACACACGAAGTAAAACACTTTTCTATAGCTATAAAGAATTACGAGTGCGTTTGGAGACTTGAAATTAAAGCACACTTATTATTGCATAGGATAATTAGGGTCAGTGGCAATAGGTAAGGGTGTCCGCCGGTGGTGGTGGGGGGGGTGGTCCACCCCGGGTGGCACTTTTTTCTATAAGTGGATGGCGGGCATATTACAGCAAACTGCAGAGTTATTTTAGTGGAAGGGGTGACAAAAATCCTGAACCACCCTAGGCAGCAGTCACCCTAGTTACGACACTGATAAGAGGAAAAAGGGGGGGGGGGCTGGGGGGCGAAGATGGGATCTTGTTTGGTAAAAGGAAATAACTGACAGAAGGGGAGGAGTACGCCTGAAAGAACAACAACAAATAAACAAACAAACAATGAAACAATATACATTGCCACCAACGGTAAACAAAAAGTCACGTGATCGTGTTCTCCTCCAGGTGCCTACAACAACCAGTGCTTTCAGTGCACCAACTACGGGGGAGGGCAGTCCTACACCAAGTGCGCCAGGAACGAGTCCGCTGACATTCGGTGGGCTTACTACGGCCCCTGTGACGGTCCTTGCTTTTACCGAGGGGATGCAAACAATAACGACTGTGAGTATTAGTTTTCCCTACCTCCCCAGTGATAGTTTTCCCTATCATCCCTAGTGATAGTTTTCCATATCTTCTTCAGTGCTATTTTCCCTATCTCCCCCAGTGATAGTTTTTCCCTATATCCCTCCAGTGACAGTTTTCCGTATATCCCCTCAGTGATTGTTTTCCCCATCTCCCCCAGTGATAGTTTTTCCCTATATCCCTTCAGTGACAGTTTTCCGTATATCCCCTCAGTGATTGTTTTCCCTATCTCCCCCAGTGATAGTTTTTCCCTATATCCCCTCAGTGACAGTTTTCCGTATATCCCCTCAGTGATTGTTTTCCCCATCTCCCCAAGTGATAGTTTTTCCCTATATCCCCTCAGTGACAGTTTTCCCTATCTCCCCAGCAAAAGTCTTGAACACTTTTCAATATCTCCGTCAATGATAATTTTCCTTATCCCCCCCTCCCCCCGTAATATTTTTCCTTATGTCCCCCAGTGAAAGTTCCCCATTGATAGTTTACCCTATCTTCCCCATTGAAAGTTTACCCTATCTTCCCCATTGATAGTTTACGCTATCTTCGCCAGTGATTGTTCGTGGATGTGCCGCATCATTGGGCACTGTGCCGTCCCAGCTGCCACCTGACGGCTGCTATGTCTGGAATGGCGCCATCTTTTGTGTGTGCTGGACACCCCTCTGTAATATGGCCAAACTGCCAGGTAAAGGTCGTTGTGTCATTCGAGTTCGGGACTACGTGTGTAGTGGCCTGAAAACCTCTCTTCAATACGGCCAAATTGCCAGCTAGATGATGATAGCACGGTTATAGGTCAGGTCAACAGTTGGCTTGTTACAATACAAACGGTTAAATTTGAACGTTACATTGGATGACATTATTTTAGGATAGAGATAAAAATTAGACTATTTTGAAAACATTTTTTCAGTTTTAAACATATTGTATAGCAAATGTATAAAAAATGTATTGAATATCTTTGTTTATATATTTATACTTATTGGTTCGTAACCACTCTCTCTTTCTCCCTCTCTTTCTCTCTCTTACTCTCTTTTGCTATAGATAAGTCCAGCGGTGTTTCCCTGGATGCTCACCTGAGCGATGTTGTAGAACCCATTCGTAAGTTATCATTATAAGATTACACAGTAATGCTCAACATTAATAGGTTACCGAATAGGTATGTAAATGTATAAGATTACCACATAGGTATGTATAAGATTACACAGCAATGCTCAACATTAATAGGTTAGCGTACATGTATATCGTAACACACTTAATCTTCCCACTGAGCGGTAACCATCTCTCTGATCATCACATTTGTTATGAGTAGTTCACTATTACAAATGCCCAATTAGAAGTAAAGTTTATCTGTTTGATAATTATATAACACACCTTTAGCTGTTTCTACATTTTAAATTAAACATCTCATAAGAACAAAGTTTTTTCGTATGCATCTTGTATGTGCATTTTTTTATTATTTTATTTTATATTAATATTCTACTTTCCCAAAAACTTGTACACCCCAGATTTATTTCACCAACTATTTCTGATAATCAAAAGAATATGTTACGCACCAAGCGCACTGGCGATATATTAACCAAAAATATCCTTCACCTCAGTTATCGGGAATTCATTTCATGAAATCGGTGTCATCATATTTCCTGTATCTTCCCTTTGAAAAACACGAAACACTGATTTTCAGGTTTTAGGACTGGGGGTGGGAGGAGGACGTAGGGCTGAAAATATGAAAGAATGTATTATGATCTGCAACGCATCAATGTGCCAAGTAGGCCTTGTGCCAAGTTTAAGCTCGATAGGAAGACGGGAAATGGGTCAATGAGACATCCAAAGAGCTTGGCACCCCGGCCAGGAAGAAACACACGAACAAAAGCGAGGTTAATCTAAAGGATGTACAAATAATTTATACATTTTTTTAACGCAAGAGTCACATCACCTAAATCAAATTCCAATGCTTAATTATTCAAAATTCTGTGTCCGATTTCTATTGGTCAGTAACTTGTGCTATTCTTGATATATTATCACGAGTGCAAAATAATGGGTCTTTTCTCGTGTGTCCAATATTATCTCTAAATTCATGTATAAATATCATATTTATATTCTACTGTGTCTAGTGTGTGTTCAGTATTATGTATGTATCCTACTGTGTCTAAAAAAAAACTTCCAGTGTTTTTATGTGTCTACTATACTATGTCTATCATGGGTCTATTCTAATGAGTCTAGTCTGTGTACACTATCATGTATTTTTTTTTACTCTCTTGTTTGTGTCCAGTCGTATGTGCCTACTCTACTGGGTTTATGCCATGTTGAATATCATGTGTCTGCTATGTCTATCCTGTGTCCAATAGTGTGTCTACTCTACTGTGTCTATATCTTCTGTCCAATATCATGTGTCTATATCTGATGTGTCCAATCTCAAATGCCCCGTGCCCTTGTCCAGCCGAAGACGGAGTCCTCCGCTGCTTCCAGTGCCTCAACTACAACGACAAGGGAGACTACTTCCCGCAGTGCCCCAAGGATGCACGGGTTAACGCCCAAACTGTGTTCAGCGGCAACTGCACGGGGGCGTGCTTCACAAGGTCATTCAAGGACAACACAACACGTAGGTCACTGCCACTATCTATCAATAAGACATTCTCAAACCAGCCTTCGAAACATCTTGCATTATGTTTGGCGACAACTGAGTCTTAGACCTACGTAACACAACGATATGAGTAGACACACACGCACACACACACACATTTGCACGCACGCACACACACACACTCACGGTTGGACGGACGGGCACACAGACAGCAAACACACACACACACACATTGCTTTGCATCAAAGTAGGTCAATTCTTCAGTTTTCTGAGAAACGGAACTTTTTTACCACCTCGTAGTCAGAGGTCAGAGGCCAAGGGTAAAGTCAATATGTTAGAAAAGCAATTTCATGCAGCCAATATATCTGAAAAATAAACGAAAATATCATTAAAAAAATATTTACCGTTTTACATTTAACTGGGAATGCATGTGTGTGCTAGGATATAGTGTAGACGTCCATGTTTGAGTCCTTTGACAAATCGAGTGCTCTCTTCCAATTTTATTTAGTAGTGATGGGGGTTATTTAACTAATAAAGTTGTTCCCATTCGCCAAAGAAAACTTCCAATGGCTGCTTCATAGTTGGTCCATTTTTAGTCCACTTCTGGATACCCCCCCCCCCCAATGAAGCAATGTCCAGTGGTGTACGCCTTATTTTTCCACAGGTGTCGCCCGTGGTTGCACAGATAGCCAATACGGACTCCCATACCCGCTCCCAAAAGATGGCTGCTATGACTGGGACGGCGACGTGTGGTGTCTTTGTACCACGCCCAAATGTAATGGTATTGCGCTAGGCAAGTAATGATATTTTGTTATTTAACAACACACCAAAAAATACGTTTTTACTATAAATCCTTTATTTGCATGTTTGAAATCTCTTATATATTATATATATATTGCGCTTCTGGCGTGACTCGTGGACCGCTTCCCAATGGACTGCTTCTTAACCAGCAAATTTGGTATTGAGAGTATATTAGAAATAACTCTAAATGTTTGAAAGAAAGTCTGGTTCAATAATTAGTTATCTAGCGCGCAAAATATAATTCCCGATAACAATGCTAAATGATATGTTTTTAAAAAAAATATAATTCAACTGCGTTTGGCGCGTAATATTTTTTTCGGAAAATGAAATCGTCTCAATTTAACTACGGTGTAAAAAATATTCGGTTTAAAAGTGGTTGGGACATCAGAATATTTAATATAGTTCATGGGCGTGAAATAAAAAGTGTGCAGTGACGTATCATTGGTGGGGGGGGGGGTGTAACCAAAAGGGGGATTCTTTAATTTGCGATACTTGAGTCCATGTTTTGTCAAGTAACTTTAGTAGATGAGAAGTTCACGCATTGCTGTCGACAATGTTTAGCGGGCTATATGTAGTGTTATATTAATGTTCTAATTCTTAAATCCCATCAGCTTTTACACCGCAGTTTTTTCCCCCAACTATTTCAGAAAAAAAGAAGAAAATATTACTCGCGAAACACATTGCGATATGTTTAAAAAATAATCGCATTTTGCGCAGTTATCTAGTTATCGGGAATTTCATTACGTGAAATCAGTGTCGTCAAATTTCCTTCATCTTACCATTGGAAAAGGTGATTTTGCGGGTTTGGCGAGTGGGGCTGAAAATTCTGATTAAATGTTTTGTCCTCGATAACAAGTGTACGTGACAAGTTTCAGCGCGATAGGTTGACGGGAAGTAGGTAAATTAGCCATCCGAAACTTTTTCAAACCGAAAGCACACCAACAAAAACGAAGTTAATATGGCGAATTAAAACAAAAACCCGCACACGAATACAAGGATCTGTACACTATCCAGTCACTAAGACAGTCACTAAGACAGTGACTAAGACAGTGACTAAGACAGTCGCTAAAACAGTCACTAAGACAGTCACTAAGACAGTCACTAAGACAGTCACTAAGACAGTCACTAAGACAGTCACTAAGACAGTCACTAAGACAGTCACTAAGACAGTCACTAAGACAGTCACTAAGACAGTCACTAAGAGAACTATTGGGATACATTATGATGTTATTCCATAACGGACATATCCCAGCACACATTAGAAGGTATCACAACAATATTATTCTTATGGCGACATTTATTTCTTTGACTGCTTGGCCGACTATATTTTGTCAACGACGACGTGGTCTGTCTTTATTATTCATATGATGACGTTGTACTGTATTTTACTTCTATGAATTCGTTGTCATGTCTATGTTGATGACTGGATTATTTCCCCCCTGCTGTGTTCCAGGTATGTCAAGTGGTCAGGAACTCGATGCTCACCTGGACAGTATAGTCGAAAATATCGTAGGTCAGTTTTGCTCGTGCCATTTAATGTCATTCACTGTCAATGTCATGTTGATCAGAGCTCAGCAACTCTCTTTTAAAACATTTGTCTGCAAACTCTGTTTTAGACATCTGTCTTCGAGCTCTGTTTTAGACATATGTCTTTGAATTCTGTTTAGACACCTGTCTTTGAACTCTCGTTTAAAACACCTGTCTTTGAACTCTGTCTTAAACATCTGTCTTTGAACTCTCTTTTAAAACATCTGTCTTTTAACTCTATTTTAAACATTTGTCTTTGAACTCTGTTTTAGACACCTGTCTTTGAACTCTGTTTTAAACAGCCAGCTGCTGTCTTTGAGCTCTGTTTTAGGCATCTGTCTTTGAACTCTGTTGAAAAATCTGTCTTTGAACTCTGTTTTAAACACTTGTCTTTGAACTCTCTTTTAACCATTGTGTCTTTGATGTCTGTCATAGACTATCTTGCAGCTAACCCTCTATTACAAGCCATCTTGCCTTCTGTATTCCAGGATCTCACTTAATAAACTATCAGACATCCGTCAATAAACTCTTTGTCAGACACCTGTCAATAAACTCTTTGTCAGACACCTGTCAATAAACTCTATCAGACGTATGTCAACCAACTCTCTATCAGACATCGGTCAATAAACTCTGTTGGAGAAATCTTTCTATAAACAATCTGTCCGCCATGTCTCTCCCAATCTCTGTACCGTCAAACGAATCCATCCAACTAACACCAAGAAGTTCACCAACAGAAGAGGACGGCATCAACCGGTGCTACCAGTGCATCAACTACGACTCGGACGGCAACTACTACAAGCAATGTCCTAAGGACGCAAGGGTCAGGAACGCCTTCTTAGGTCCCTGCAATGGCACCTGTTTCATTAGGTCATATGATTATGATCCGAGATGTAAGTTATAAATACTAGCCAATCTTTATTGTTTCATTAGGTCATATGATTATGATCCGAGATATAAATTATAAATATTGGCCAGTCGCACCTAATTTTATTTAGGTCATATGATAATTGTGTTAGATGTAGACAATAAATTATAGTAGCTAATGACAGCTATTTCTTCAATTCATATACACATGATCAGATGTGTATTTTAAGCATGGTACACAATAGAGCAAAGGAAATTTTGTATGATGATCTATTGTCAGTGGAGAAGGTTGCCTTGGTGATATACTTGCAGCTTTCAGGATGGCGAAAAATTGTGTATGTTGCGCACCATGGCTAATAACTTTTGGTGCATCCTTGCGGAATAGATTCCTATTTATTAATTTGGATCACAGTAGCTGAAAAAATATGTGCGGTGGCTCTAAGGCCCGGGGTTACTTTAATGTCGGGATGGGAGAAGGGCCTTGTCTGAAAGACACACATTTCAAGACCTGTATAAAATGTGCTCTTTTTTTGTCCAGTACAGACCGGTCTTTCAGTTTTGTAAAAAAAAAAAAATTATAAAAAAATGAAAAAGTTTTTAATGATTGTATTACAAGACATTTGTGACGTCATGGACATCTTTCAAGAAATGTTATGATCTTTTTCCCCCATACTTAAGTGGTTGCCAGAGGTTGCACTGACACACAGTACAATTTACCCAACCCGCTCCCACCTGATGGTTGCTACAAATATTACTCGGAAGTCTGGTGTGTCTGCTCTACTTCAAGGTGCAACGGTGTCGCTTTAGGTAAGGGAAATAAACCGAATGTAAGGGTAAGGGAACTAAACCAACTATAGGCGTAACTACGATAAGGGAGATATTATTGGTAAGGGGAAGTAACGTAGTTGCATCAACATGATAAAAGGGTGAAAGGACATATAAAAATGCAGATGAGTGTTTAAAATGTTTTAATCCATTCGGTTTGAAGGTGATGGTCATAAATATGTTTCTTATTTTCTTAATAAGGTGATTGAAACAGTGCATTCTGATCACGCAGTCTTAACATGCACACTGCACGTCTTAGCACCCAGACCTCATCTTAACATACACACTACATGTGTCAAAATGTATAACTAGTCTTAACATTGTCACTGCATGTTACAACACCCAGACCTAGTCGTAACTGTTAAAAATTGTAATGTTTTTCGTCAAGATGATCACATTTTGGCGAAGATCAAAGAGAAGCACCCTTTACCGTCACGTAACCAAACCTATGTGGCGGACTCGTGATACCTCGCTTTGTGCCTGGGTCATGGTGGAGAAGATCGGCGGAATAGTGAGTTAGCAGCAGCAGGGCCAAGAGACCTGCAAGGGCCAAGAGACCTTCCAGGGCCAAGACCACCCAGGGCCAAGAAACCACCCAGGGCCAAGAGACCCGCCAGGGTCAAGAGACCCGCCAGGGCCAAGAGACCCGCCAGGGCCAAGAGCTCCACAAGAGCAGGCTTTGAAGGGATGACCCCAGTATAGCAGTATAACAGGGGCCTGCGCCCCCCCCCCCACACGCACACACAAAAATATAGATAAAATTAAATTAAAAAATAATACTAAAAATTTCTAGTTTCAACATCCAGACCTAGTCCTAATCAACATGCACCATTGATACCTCACAACACTAACCGAACCTATTCTAAAATGACCACTTGGAGTTTCAGAGCCGTAACAGGTCAAACTGACCCCACTGAGCTCAGAAGTTAAACCTCACATAAATAAAGTTGTTCAAATATTTTACAGGGAAACCATTGGACGTTGAGTTTGATGCCCATCTCAACCACGGGGGATCTGGAACCTCGCATTCTCGGCTCCTGCAGGCGTCCACACCCGTTCTCGTGTGCAGTCTTCTTTTACACCTCAAGCTAACGCACAGTCCATGACAGCATTTGTGACATTTTGCAGTGTACGATCCCCGTATCCATGGCAACGTTTGTGACATTTCGTACTGCAAGAATACCGATTGCATGTCAACATGAGTTAGTTTTTCTACTGTAAGAGCACCGTATCCATGGCAACATTTGTGACACTTTTCTACTGTAAGAGCATCCTATCCATGGCAACATTTGTGACATTCCTCTACTTTAAAAGCGTGGTCTCCTTGGCAACATTTGTGACATTTGGCATTTAAGAACAAAATAGTAATTTCAACATTTTTGACATTTTGTACGGTATGAACAGCATCTCCATAGCAACGTTTTTTTGACAATTTGTACTGCAAGAATATCTACCGCATGTTAAAATTAGTTAAGTTTTTCTACTGTAAGAGCACCGTAACCATGGCAACATTTGAAAAATTTTCTACCATTAAAACTCAAAAGCCTCGGGGTATGTTTCGGGGACCGATGTAAATAAGATGAATGCTATTTATAGATTTATGTTTGAGATATAATTTATGTTTGTGATATTTATTTATTTTGAACTATGGCATTAAATTAAATGTGAAAAAATACCTAAATGATTGTTTCTTGTGCCGTTATTATATCCAGGGATGGCTGAGAAGGTCTTTTGTGAATGGAGTACCATGATCTGTACGTCTGCGGGGAGTAAGTTAAAGGACATTAAAACAACAAAGCCAAATGTCACCCAGGTTATATATCAACCAGACTATATGTCAACTAGGCTGTATATCAACTACGCTATATGTCAACCAGGCTTTATGCCAACCAGGTCTATATCAACCGGGCTATATGTCAACTAGGCTATAAGTCAACTAGGCTATATGTCAATCAGGCTAAATATCAACCAGGCTGTATGTCAACTAGGCTATATCATGTCAACCACACTATCTGTCAACCAGGCTGTATGTCAACAAGGCTATATCATGTCAACCATACTATCTGTCAACCAGGCTGTATGTCAACAAGGCTATATCATATCAACCACACTATCTGTCAACCAGGCTGTATGTCAACTAGGCTATATCATGTCAACCACACTATCTGTCAACCAGGCTGTATGTCAACTAGGCTATATCATGTCAACCACACTATCTGTCAACCAGGCTGTATGTCAACAAGGCATATCATGTCAACCACACTATCTGTCAACCAGGCTAAATGTCAACCAGGCTAAATGTCAACCAGGCTGTATGTCAACTAGGCTATATCATGTCAACCACACTATCTGTCAACCAGGCCAGATGCGGCCCACAATAGCATTTTAATCTGGCCATATAAAATAAATATATATATTTTTTTATTATAGGAGGGCCTCACTATGTTAGATTTCTACTTAACAATGTATTTACATCAGCTAATTAAATAAATAGATAGACTGTACATTTTTTTGCTCGATACCACAGACAACGTAATTATGGATCCGAGTTCATTAATAATTGTTGTGGCTGGATATTATGTTTGATTACGCGCGGTATGTGTTTTTTAGAGAGATTAACTCGTTAGTGAACGCTCTTCTCGCGCTTGACTAGGTGACGTAAATTTTTTTTTTTTATGGTTGTTATGACGTATTGTCTAGTCTGTTTTGTGACGTATGTTTTTATTCCTTCGGTAGTCGCGAAAGGAACTTTGTGGAAGGAGGTTGTGTTTTTGTTTCCTCTCTGATAGCGAGCTGCGCTATGCATGTGCATATGGAATTAACATTCTGTGAATCTACATTATATATTAAAGTTGTATAAACTACGAAAAAGGACTTAAGACGAGTCAGTGTTAGTACGAAGTATGACAGCGTGTGAAAGAACTTGAGGAATTAACCAATCTAGCATACAAAGGAGCTGGGCACTCATTGTAATGTATAATAATTATTAAAGCGTAACTTATATTGTTATATTGACACAATTTGTTCGTGTCTTATTAATCTAGTTAGGCACTTCAGCCACAAAACTCTGAATAGCCTCCAGGTCCACCATTGAGTTCAAAACATGAGGGTAACAGGTTTAAGATATCTGAGCACAAGTCGGACTTCACAAGTAGAGACAGAACGAAGGTGCTTTTCTAAATTTTGGCCAAAACCGAAAACAAGTCTAACGATTTGGCCGAAATCGAAGCCGTAACCAAAAGCTTAACGAGACGTTCGGCCGATGCTCAAGCTGAAAACAAAACATTTAGATATTTTAAAATTCTTTAACGCATACATTCTGCAGACATCGAAAAATGTAAGGGGGGGGGGGGAAGTATCAATATTTAGATTATTTTTATAAAAGATGACATCACCGTGAATGGTAATAAATAAACGTCTAATGAAAACTTTGGCTTTGACCATTTTAATTTATACGTAACTTAAATTCCCTAAAAACGTTTTTTAAAGTAGTATGATAAGAGAAAATTTGGACCGGAAAAAAAAAGAGCTGGGGGAGGGGGGGGCAAAAATTCGTTCAAAATGGACCCTTTGCTTTTATAACATAATTGCATTCTAGAATGTATACCTACAATACTTATTGTGGCTAAAATAGAGCCCGTTGTCACCTAAAACAGTTGTTAAGGATATACAAAATATCACCACAATGTTTCGCGGTTATCGTCATACTAACGCTTTGTGTGTTCACCCATAGCTGGCAAGATAATCTCTGTATTAATGTTTAGCCTAGTACCAACACATTATCTTTCCGTGCTGGTGACGTAATTTTTTCGTTCGGAGACCAACCTCCCTCACCCCCATTTTTGGAGTAATTGTTATGTAAACCGGTTCCATTAAAATTGTTGTTCTGACGGGTCTCGACGGAAAAATCACTAAAGACATCTACATTGGTCACCAAAATCATAAATTAAACATGTCTGCAGTAGGACAACTGCATAATTATTAAACAAACCCGTGATACATGCACACGCGGGTTATGTCGTCAGTAGCAATGTTTATCAGCATGATCATGAGGAATTACCAGAAATGCATCCATTGAAAAAGTCTAGGTTTCCTTTCTTAAAAATTTATTTTAAAAAAAATAATAATAATGGAAATATCCCCACTCCCTAGGGTTATTCAACATTGGCACCTTTGCCTATGACAACATTAATGAGCATCATAATGATAAATCCAAATTATGAATATAAAAAAATGAATAAATTGAATAAACCTAAGATCCCAAATTTAATTTTTGAAAAAAAGTAAAAAAACAAACAAAAAAAAAACACCAAGAAAATGATATTAATATTACCATTCCATTAGTTTTTCTTCCTCGAAACTTTTTACATTTTCCTAACCCTAATTGAAATTTTCGTTTTTTTTGTTTTTCGGAAAGGACAAGTAGTGCATCATGCAGCTCTGAACAGTCTTCGCAGAGTATTAGTCATATAACATACGATGCCAGCAAGACGTCGAGCAATAATGAATATCGGATTGCGGCCTAGAGACGGACAGTCTGACTTCTGGTAGATGACCGAAAACCTCAGTCCCTTTCGGCCAGAGGGCCAAAAGTCTCAATCAATATCGGTCGAAAACTGAAAGTTAACTTGTCTGTTTTGACCGAAACTGAAACTAGAACGAAAGTGGTCAAATGGCAATCTTCGGCGCCGAAACCGAAGCCGAAATTCGGTCGGTCTCTCTTGAAAAGCCATTCTGTGAATTTAATTTCGAATGTAGACTTGGTCATATTCGCATGCGAAAACCGAAAACATGTGTTACAAACTTAAATGTCACAGAAAATGTATTCGTTTCGGTAAATGTATATTTGTCAACAAGTTTTCTTGTGACAAAGAAGTTAAATGTGACATGTAGCGAGAGAGAATAAGTCAAATGTATGTCGCAACTAAAGCTACAGATGTTGAAAAGTCGTAAAAATAGTCTTTTTTTTTTTACATAGAAATATTCGTTCCATTCTGCAAATGAGTTCAACTGATTCCCCACTCAAACAGGATTTAGCAATGCGTCACGACACGTCATCTAACCAGGGCAGACGTAATAAAAGGGACGTAATTTTAAGCCGTTATCGAAATTTCAATCATTTGATAATACTATGTAACAAACAAGTAGTTTCACCGCCACATCTAAATCTTTTACAAAGGGGCGTTGCTCTGTATTAATGACGCCGCCCTGTGTGAAAAAGACATTTACCCCCAATTTAATCCTTTCAGGCAATGGAAAGCTACTTGGTTTAGGTCGTGTTGTTTCAATGTATCTGTCCACCGCCCGCATCCAGACCTTCCCATTCAAATAATCGACTTAATTCACCCGCCCCCCGTCATTACGGCAATTAAGTCTCACCCGCCCCGTCATTACGGCACCCTTTTCAATTAGGTCTCACCTGTTCCGATGTTTAGTAGTCAACCCCAGCCAAACTGAATCACAGAGGCGTATCTCAAAGTTTTGGATTGGACGGGCCCGGCAAAGCCCGCTACCTCAGTGGCGTCACCTTAGTTCCATAGGAAGTGCACTACTATTTAATTCCAAATGACATAGGCCCGTGTTTCCCAACCTTTTTTTTTTGTGCCACCCCCCCCCCCCCCCTTTCCCCCCCTTTTTTTTTTGTGCCCCCCCCCCCCCCCCCCAAGTCTAAATGATCGGTTTCAGGAAGAGATTTTTAAGGCAAGGCAGTCAGCAAATTTTCAAAACATACAACGAGAACGGAAACTCCAGCAGAAAATAAAAGATTTGTCTAAAATATTTTAATTATTATTTCATTTATTATTTATAATTTGATAATTTTAAAATACAATCAGGCATCACAAATACACTGTGAAAAGACTAATTTAGCGAGGAACTTGCGCTTGATGCTTGTTGCAAAGAGATTTTATGTTAGGTGTCCATGTAGGTAGCTTCAGCCTCATTTCTCCCCCGCTGTACCGTACCAGCCAATTTCATTTTTTTAAAGCAGCAAAACCACTTACGAAATAAACCAACATCCCGCTAAATATGAATATGGAAACGGTAACAATAGTTGTATTGCACATTTGGTCAAATTTGGATAATGGATTTGTTTCCTTACAAAGCAATGCCATCTCTCCTTTTATATTAAATAAAATTTAATCATTTTTCTTCAAAAAAATCTTTCTTCTAAATCAGATGACACAATTGTTAGATTATATAAAATAAAAGTATAGTTTTTTGAGCCAATGAAGCTTTTCGAAATTTTTGTTACAAAGATGTTGCTGACACAATTCAATAAATGGAACCAATGCATTTATCTTCGCTTTTGCATCGACAAGAGTTTCATTTGCTCCTTGAAGTTCATTTGCTCCTTGAAGTTCATTTGCTGTTCAATATCTTTAATTTTTCAAAGATATCGGCTAAGTAACTCACAAATGCTATACCATCGACTGTTAACAGGTAAATCGTTTCAGGTTTCTCCCTTTGAAAATCCCAAGAACATCAAACGGTTCGATCAATCTTTTCAAGCAGCTCACTTTCGAGAGCCACCTTACTTCATGGTCTGCATTTTGTGCTTGAAGAGACGACCCTCACATTTGGCATTAGCTTTCATAGCACTGGTACACTTTATAACTGAATTGAGTTCTTCATTTAGAATAGGAGAAATACTTAAGTTATCAAGTTTCCTTCTGAGTAACACAATGGACAAGAAGGATTTAAGGATTCTCACCCTTCATCAATTTTAAGCAGCCATTTTTCTTGCCCTCTATATTAGGATCACCATCTGCAGCACAAGATATTATTTTGTTCATTTGTTATATTATTGAAATCTATGTAATTCTTCAGCTTATATTATATATATATATATCTGTCAGTCAGTAGTGGTGCTTTCTAATGATTTACAAGACAACTCTTTTCAGCAAAATATCCTTTATCAATATATCTTTCGTATTTTTGAATTGCCCCCCCCCCCCCTTTTCCTTTTAACAATCTAATTGATCCCCTGTGGGGCGTGCACCCCACATTGGTTATATATAACTGTCAGTCAGTAGTGGGTCTTTCTAATGATTTACAAGACAACTCTTTTCAGCAAAATATCCTTTATCAATATATCTTACGTATTTTTGAATTGCCCCCCCCCCCTTTTCCTTTTAACAATCTAATTGATCCCCTGTGGGGCGTGCACCCCACATTGGGAAACACTGATATAGACCCTTCAAATTGCTTATATAATCAATCTGCTCAATGCCTGATATTATAGAATTCAACTACATATCTCCCAAAAGCGAGAGAGAGAGAGAGATAGAGAGAGAGAGAGAGAGAGAAGGGAGAGAGAGAGAGAGAGAGATGGGGAGAGAAAGAGAGGTTTAAGGTGCAATTGATATTAAAGTGACATAAGGAATGAGATTATGTTTTTGTTTTTTTTAAATAATTAAATTCGACCATCGACAAAAACTGACAACGTATGGACTCTCACAGAATAAAATAGATGGAAATTTAAAAAATGCTTCAAAAACCTCTATGCTACGTCGTGTAATGTCAAAATTTCGATGTGCTTCAAGCATAGAACTTCGTTTTAATGTGTTATGGGTCAATTCAGTTGCTTTACGATATCTGTTCTTGTCCGAAAGATTCGTTACCAAATTAAAAAAAAGTTGCTTCCCCCACACAATTAAAAGAACATTAAATTGTATTTGGAATCCTCATTGGTAATACCCACATTGGATCCAGCGATTGAGATTTCATAGGGCATTGTATCGCCAGTCAGGATAGACCTGATGTTATTGTTCGTTTGCAACACAACCTCCGCCTCGAATTAAGGCAATCATCACAAATCCATCGGTGTCCTAAACTGAATAATTGATCCAAGTGGTAATTAACCCGGTAACACGTCTGTTAAGGTGACACTGATCCAAGGGATGGGTGTATCTCTGTTGACAGTAGAGCAGTTGTGAACTGGCCGCTCGTCGGGTGCAAGGGGCGCGGTTCGGTCTTATAAAAAGAGTCACCAGCTGGGGGGTCAACAATCGAGTTTTGGTCTCTGTAGAGCCCGACGTAAGGGACCTGTCTACAACCGTTGGAGGTAAAGTCGCTCATCTTTGTTGTAACTCCCTCCTATTTCGGAAAAAATGAATAATTCATTAATTGTTTCACTTCATCATTTTTCAGATGATTTTCTTACTGGCCATCCAAGCTTTGGGATTTCTGGGGTCGGTCCACGCCCAGTCGGGGGTCACTCTTACACCGACCCCAAATTATGTGGATCCTGCAACAGGAAGTGTCAGTTTGAGGTGCGCAGTGGACGGGGCTGTGAAGTTGTATAATACCAATGGACTACTCATTGAGAAAGAAATTGATGTAAGTGACGTCCCACTCACAATGCGATCTCTTACATCTCTTAGTACACTCTGTCATATGATATGGCACTCTGTCATCTGATATGGCACTCTGTCATCTGATATGGCACTCTGTCATCTGATATGGCACTCTGTCATCTGATAAGGCCAAACATAAGAATACATTTAATATCATGATGTGTACTATAAAATCGCTCGGGTACAAATTATCATCTTTCATGTTTATGGTGTATACTTTTATTTCTTTTATGGCATATCAGAGTCTTTTGGGGTGTATGTGTTTAATTACAGAAAAACTTTTCACTGACGCAACGATAAGGATGGTCTTAGCAAATGGGAAAAAAACAAAACATAAAGAATTAGTCTAACGAAAAATAAGAAATTTTTACTACTTAAATCCATGAGAAATTATTTATTTTACACTGAAGAGAAATTTGTACTAAGATTAAATGAAGTTTTGAAAAAAAAAAAGAGCAAAAACTTTATTGTTTAATGCTAGTTATCTGCCGAAGTCAAAAGCTCAAAGAATCTTTAAAAAAAAATTTGTCAAATCAATTTTAGGGCCGATTGGTCCAAGGAATAATTAGCCGAAAAAATGTGAACTCGTCCTGCAAAAGTTTCTCTGCAAACATACAAACATAATTTTAAGTGACAAGAACAGTCTTTTATAAGATCAACAAGTTTTGGTACTTTTGTAACGCTATAGTTCATGACGTTCGCTTCATAATAATAATAATAATGTTATATATGTTAATATCACTTATTGAGTTCAGCTAACCAATTGGACAGAGCGAGGGGATCAAGAGAGGTAAGACTATTTCCTAAAAGGGCAGACGAGAAAGGAAGGGACACAATCTCCAAGCAGTGGGAAACTTGACATATTTCTGCAGCACCTTCTTCCGGTAAGTAACGATAGAGGATGAGATCATCAAACGCACATTCAAAGCAAATGTTGTATTCGGAAAGCTCCGCAAGAGTGTCTTGGAGCGATAAGGTCTCCGTCTTGCCACTAAGCTCAAAGTATATACGGCAATCGTATTAAAACTCACCTATATGCCAGCGAGACGTTTACAGTGTACGATAGACATGATATTCATCTAGGCCATCTCCACCTTAGCCGTTTATGGAAACTTCTTGGCATGAAGTGGCAGCAAAAAAAGTCTCTGATACAGATATCCTACAACAGAATGACTTTATCAACATTCACATGTCTGTAATAACAAAACAAAAAAAGTACATGTCATTTGGCCAGGGCATGTTAACGGGAATGCCAGACGGCAGCCTCCCTTAACAACTGATATTTCGGTTCTCCAAATCTCCAGATTCTAGCATCTTTTCTAAAACGAGTTTTCTCTTTGCTCCCGCAGACAGATGTATGGCAGAGTTATGCCAGGTACATCAAGGGGTCCGCGTCAGCAAGCGCCTACCAGGTTGGCGTCACCGCAACTGCTCAGATCGGAGCGGCTGGCGGAAAATCTTACCTGCAGCTGACCATCCCATCGTCTGCTGGTCCTGTTGGACGTTTCCGTTGTACAGCCACAGGCACGACCAGTGCTGGAGTAAGTGCTCACTAGTTTATTCAATATTAACATTATTTAGTTATGGAGCAATTTCTTCCATTTAACATGGCATAGTGATGGAGTAATTTATTCAATTTTAACATTACTTAGTGATGGAGTAATTTATTCAATTTTAACATTGCTTAGTGATGGATCAATTTTTTCCATTTTAACATAGCTAAGGGATAGAGTAATTTATTCAATTTTAAAATCACTTCGTGTTAGAGTAATTTATTCAATTTTAACATTACTTAGTGATGGAGTAATTGATTCAATACTTACTTCTTAAATGTAAAAGAGTTTTCTTTTCTTAAAAATTTTTTTACACTGTCCATAGCTTGGACTTAGCACGTCTTGTGCTATGGTGCGCGTGTGACTTCTGAATGCTCTAATGCATTTTGTAAAAAAAAAAAAAGAAAGACGAAAACATTCTTCTAATTTAGTTCCAGTTTTTTAATCGTGTATCTTACCGATTTAAACCTGGAGCATGATAGAAGCGTCTAGTCTTAGATCATAACAACTGCTGTGAGCTTAAAATGAAATTGAAAACATGTTATTTTAAAGAGATCCTTCTCCATTGGTGTTATTTCTTTCTGCACGCTACTTGACAGGAAGTGAGCAACATTTTGGTCGCACGAAGTGGACGGAGGATTAAGCAACCCTTAAAAAAAAAAACAAAGTTTTTTGCATAAATACTGTATATGCATTTATGTTTGCATTCAAGGAATTGTGCGTGATTTATCATTTACATGATTAAAGATACTGACTTTTGGTATTGTGGTTTTAAAAATCAAATTGGATGCATGCAAAACCTAAAAGACTAAAGATATATTTAAAAGAAGAATTTGTCGTGTTTAAAGAAAATGAGGAACGTCGCTTTTATACAGTCCTCTCCCATACCCAAATACGTCAAAAGTAGAAAGCGCATTACAACAGCTACGCAATTAATCTCCACACCGAAGCACGCACCCATTGAAAATATTCGTTTTTACAATTAATCACTTCTGCATCTTACGTTTATTTTTGTTTTTAAATACTATTAACCGCCCAACTTGAAAAACAGAAAAAGATAATTTTTGGGGATGGAGCTGAAAATTTTATCGAATGTGTTGTCGTCGTCCACAAATCGACGTGCCAAGTTTCAGCTCGATGGGTTGACTGGAAGTGGGTCAATTAGCCTTCTGAAGATTGTGCCACATTTGAAAACACGAATAAAAGCGAGTTTTATCAAAATGATTTTTAAAAAAAAATGATGCATGATCCTTGAGTGAACTTGTCCGCCCTAGAATGTGAATGTTGAATTTTAAACTCCTTGTGTGAATTTGTCCGGCCTAGAATGTGAATGTTGAATTTTAAACTCCTTGTTTGAACTTGTCCGCCCTAAACTCCTTGAGTGAACTTGTCCGCCCTAGAATGGGAATGTTGAATTTTAAACTCCTTGTGTGAACTTGTCCGCCCTAGAATGTGAATGTTGAATTTTAAACTCCTTGAGTGAACTTGTCCGCCCTAGAATGGGAATGTTGAATTTTAAACTCCTTGTGTGAACTTGTCCGCCCTAGAATGTGAATGTTGAATTTTAAACTCCTTGAGTGAACTTGTCCGTCCTAGAATGTGAATGCTGAATTTTAAACTCCTTGTGTGAACTTGTCCGCCCTAGAATGTGAATATGAATTTTAAACTCTTTGAGTGAACCTGTCCGCCCTAGAATGTGAATGTTGGTTCCTGTAATCCTTGCTTGATGATGTATACTTCTAATCATAAAACCATTATACGATGCTCTTGAAGAGTTAACCTAAATATATATATTTTAAACTTTCAGGCGGCGGCAACGCAGGTCGTGAACTCGGAAGTGTTTGCCAATCAGTATCAAGATGGTTGCACGTGCTGTGACAAGATGGCGGCATTGGAGGCCAAGATCCTGAGCTTCGAGATTATTGCGAGCAAAGTGACAACCTTAGAGAGTAGACTGAGTGCCGTGGAGTCGTCCGTGTCTAGTGGTGGGGGCTCTGGGCTGCCAGGGGATGCCCTGAAAGGAATGGATGGTGACCTTGTTCTGAGGTAATTGATAGAATTTTATACGATTTTTTTTTTTTGGGGGGGGGGGGGTGGGGTTGTCTTTCGTTACCTTCATGACACCTGGGATCAAGGTGTCAAACTTCTTTACCTCTTGTCAAACTGATGAGTTCGTTTGTATATTTTCAAATGGGTCAAGTTCTTGCTTTTAATTCCACCATGGGCGGGAAGTCGCAGGCTCTGCCACGTAGCACTGTTTTAAACTGTCTTACGGTTCAAGGCTGAATTTCGGATTAGTTTAATTTATAAAATCGAACAAGGTTTGGGTAGATAGTTTTGTATGTGTTGACGTGTGATATGTTCTTTTGGTTTTAACATAAACACAAAATATTTATACTTTGTGAAAACTTAACAAATAATAGAGTCGATGCATGTAAATGGAAATTTGTAATGTCTTAAGGATTATGATAGAATTTATACATTTGGGGCATCCATGTCAACAAATTTGATAATTAATCTATAATTATTCAGCATAAATAAAAAAAAAATGCAACAAACAATTTTCATCAATTTATGTATCTAAATCTATTTATATCTACACCCCCTTCTCTCTCACTTTATTGATATTACCATTAATATAGCATTAGATTTATATTGCATTCTTCCGTCTTCGCGAGACGATCGAGTGAGTAGCTGTAAACGCTTGATGTAATGGCTTACTAGGCCGATCCTGGAAAGGCAGTCCGGGCCCCATTTCTCGCAGGAGGGTCTCCACTCCTGGTTAGATTAGTCCTCCCGTAGTGTTCTTTCTTTTGCAAAGGGTTTCATTTCGGGCATCTTCTGCCCTTTTTTACCCCTTCATACACTGCTGTTCGCCAGCTGGAACGTTGCTCAGCAACGATCTCCCAATCGTTGATTTCAATGTTGGCTTCCCTGAATGCTTTTTTTTTTGTGCAAACGTCCACAAATCTGAGTCGTGGTCGACCACTAAGTCTCGCCACTTCTGCCAACTCACCCTACAGCAGAATCTTTGGAATACGGCCCTCCTCCATTCTCCTTGCATGGCCTAACCAGATATCCTCCAGTCTGATTACTTTTTAATAACCATCCATTGTTCGAGCCTGTTGACATTCAGCGTAATTTAGAAACGGGTTGAGAATATAATGTTTCAATAGGACTAACAATTGAAATCAACTGCATCCGAAAGGAAAAAAAAAAAGGATACGTTGCGTAATTAAAAATTAAAAAGTTTATGAAATAACAAAGCGGCAACTTGATGGTGCATTAACGTTATTTATTGTTGCCACCTCATTAGAAGAAATACTGTAGTTAAAAACATCGCTACAATGTATAATTAAATGTAGCACTAATTAAGTTCTTTTTATTCATTTTGATTTAATATTAGTTTAAGTTCTTTTTATTCATTTTGATTTAATAACTCACCTTTTTACAAAATTATCTGCTCTATATAAAGAAAGAGTAGAATGATTTTCATTTTCTGTTTGTTTCATGTCTGTCTGTCACAATCTAGTTTTAATATTCTGCTTGTTTCAGGTCTGTCTGTCACAATCAAGTTTTTTTAATTTTCTATTCCTTTCACATTTGAGTGGCATAAAATAGTTTTTTAATTTTCTATTTGTTTTATGTTTGAGAGAAACAAAATCTAGTTTTTAAATTTTCTATTTGTTTCATGTTTTAGTGGCACAATCTAGTTTTTTTTAAATTTTCTATTTGTTTCATGTTTGAGTGGCACAATCTAGCTTTTAATTTTCTATTTGTTTTATGTTTGAGTGGCACAATCTAGTTTTTTTAATTTTTAATTCGTTTCCTGTTTGAGTGGATTAGTTTTTTTAAAATTTTCTATATGTTTCATGTTTAAGTGGAACAAACTAGTTTTTTAATTTTCAAATTGTTTCATGTTTGAGTGGCACAATCTAGTTTTTTATTTTGTCGGGCCGTTCTTGTAGACCGATATTCTTTATTTGTGGCACCGTGTATTTCTCAGTGACAATGCTATACGCTTTATGTTCGAGAAGCAGCGTCAGCAATACCCCGAGCATGATGGTGAGGTTTCTTTTTCTGTTATAGACGGCGGCTAGGCAAAGTCAACTGTGAGGCCGGGTACCATCAATCAGAGGCTGGCCGAGGTCAACGATGGTCAGCGCCAATAAAACGCATTTCGTGACGTTGTTTGCAAATACAATTGAATAGAAAAATATATACGCCCCCCCACCCCCGGGGCCAAAAAAACAACAACAAAAAACAAACAAAAAGAAAAAAAACAACAACATCAAATTTACAGTTAGGAAGAATGTGATTTAAAATTTTTATTTTGAAAACGACTAAAGATGTATATTTTATTTTATTTTAAAGGTACCTGAAGCAAAAAAAAATTAATTACGTTACTTTTGTTTCGTTTGTAACTATTACGATTAACATTGACTTTTTCAGTAGCCTGTCGTTCCCAAACGGAATTTCAAGTAATTTATTTTTCAAGTAAATAACTAGAAAAGAGTAGCTTACATCAAACGTGATAACTCCCTATTCGAGGCTGTGGCGCTGTGTTCAACAGACGCCCAAAAACGAATTGCCAAGACGTTTGCACTAAATGAGATTCTTATCAAGTGCGTTACTTGAGTACGTGTTTTGTCACGTGACTTGAGTAGATGAGAGGTTGGTGCATTGCCACCGCCATTGTTTGGTGGGTTACTTATAGTACAAGTAATAATCAGATTGACTTTATTGATATTATGTATGAAATCGTTTCGCTCTCAAGGACAAACTGATTGATTTTTGTGATGTCATAAGGAGCTTGAATTGTCTTTTCTCTGCAGGAGTCTGGTTTGGCCCGAGGGCTACTATGGTCTTCTCATGCCCGAGACTGGATGCCCGAGTCAGGGGTTCTCATTCGTCGACTGGAGGAGCGACGGCTACAGGCAGTTCCACACGGAGTCGACATCTACGGTGAATTTGGACAAGTTCTCTCCGGACATCCACCTGAAGCAGCCTTACCAGAACACCAACGGCGCCCAGAGGTTCATCTTCCTGTACTTCTGCATGAACATCGAAGGACCGGTCTTAGCCGAGGGTCCGACCTGGCCATCGGGCTCCTACTGCATCAACAAATGGGCCGGGTGCCCCGAAGGCTTCCACGAGGGCAGCATATTCTGGGACGAGGAGAACACGTGGCATGACAATAAGTACAGTGACCTGGTGCCCAACGGTGCCTACGGCGGCGACACGAGGATAGACTACTGCTGTCGCCGGGACGGTAAGCCGGAGGTCCCAGTCTACCTGCCCACGGCGAAACCGTTCTACCTGTACAGATTCGACGGCAAGTGCCAGCAGGTGGCCGGCATGAATGTGACCAACGAGTTCATCGTGTTCGACACGGAGAACACGGGCGGCAACATTGACAAGTACACCGGAGAGTACCACCCCGACGGCAGACTTAACGACGTTAGGGTCGAGCTCTGCTACTACTCCAGATAAGCTAAAGGATCTTTCACAAGGCTGAAAATATCCTGGAATGAGACATGTTCTTGTTAAACAGTCTTATAATATAACGAATTATAGAGGAAATAAATAATCATTAAAAAAAATAAAATCTCACATATATGTTGTTGTTTTTTACATAAAAAAATAACAACAATTAGCTTACTTAATTTTATTTACAATCAACATCTATATCATCTCATGTTATGTTTCCTTCCCCAACTTCGCCCCCCAACCGTGGCAGACGCTGGAGGTGTTTCAATCGTGGTAGTGTTGTGACATCATATCACGGGGGGGGGGGGGGGGGGTATGCCTCGCCGCGCAGTCGTGTAATCTGGCTACGTTACGGGCTGCACCGACTCAATAATAAATTAACCCCTTTTCTTACGATACTTTTAACATCACTTTAAATGTCATAAAGCAAACCCACAGAAGTGATTTCCCAAACATGAGATGCCAGTTTTAATAGAGACTTTCTTAAGCTTTCAGTTTGGTGGGGTTTTTTGTTTGTTGAGTTGTTGTTTTTGATACGCTACCGGTGCATCGCTTCTTGTTGCCCTATTGTATTTTAAACTAAGAAACATGCTGTAAACGACTTACCATACTACATTCTGGTACAGCAGCTGGGGGCGTCATTTCAGTTTTATTGGGGGGGGGAAGGGGGGGGGCAAAATCGAAACTTGATCTGCTTGTTAAGTTGTTTCTTACTGGAGGCGCCACAGTACATAGCAATTTCAAATAAAACCTGCAGATCGGGTGGGAGGAGGAGGGGGGTGTGTAAACGACTTACCATACTACATTCTGGTACAGCAGCTGGGGGCGTCATTTCAGTTTTATTGGGGGGGGGAAGGGGGGGGCAAAATCGAAACTTGATCTGCTTGTTAAGTTGTTTCTTACTGGAGGCGCCACAGTACATAGCAATTTCAAATAAAACCTGCAGATCGGGTGGGAGGAGGAGGGGGGTGGAAAATGCCCCACCTTGCCCGAACCCAAAAATGACCTCTCTGTACAGAAGACCGGCGACGACACTTTTTAGATTTTAAAAAAAAATGACCAAATATTTGTTTAATGAATAAGCTACGTGCTCATGAAAGTTGGAAATATATTTTTTTTATTTTGCACTTATTTCACAACATATGAATCAACAACAACAACAACAAGTAAATGATTGAGGAAGAAATCCATGTGAGCCATCTCGCCAAGAACTAAACACACAATCTTAATTCCCACAGTTATAATAAAATATAGACACGTTAATTTCTTTTTGAATGAAGTTTTCTTTTCATTGATAATAAAGAAATAAAGAGTGCATTTGTCATGTTCACCTTGCAAGCACAAACTGTGTCTGAAAAAAACACAAAAAATACAACACACACACCTAATTTAAACATGTGTATTTGAAATCATTAATTTTGTAATAATTTTTTTAATCTGATAAGCTTCTGACCCTGAAAGAAAAATAAACTTATTTTTTAATAAACTTAACATAATTGGAATAATGACCTAATTAATTCAGTCTCTGTAATTTATTTAATTTTATGCACATTTTTATCGCCAGAATTGTCAAATGTCAACCCATCCATGACATCTAGAATTAAGTTGGGTTTTTATGTCAACCCTCCACGACATCTAGAATTAAGTTGGGTTTTTTATGTCAACCCTCCACGACATCTAGAATTAAGTTGTGTTTTTATGTCAACCCTCCACGACACCTAGAATTAAGTTGGGTTTTTTATGTCAACCCTCCACGACATCTAGAATTCAGTTGGGTTTTTTATGTCAACCCTCCACGACATCTAGAATTAAGTTGGGTTTTTTAAAATAAATTTTTATCGTCAAACATTTCGCTGCTATAATTATCAACGGGTTGTAAGCACCTTGGCGTTTCCCAGGCAATCGTATCGATTGAAGCTTGTTTTACAAAGATTAGAAAACAAAAAAAAAATATGTCTTACGAATGTATAGCTTTAAGGTAAAAGAAAGAATTATCAAACAGGCAAGGAAATGCATGATTTCACAACAAAAGAATGAGTAATCAAACAGAGCATATTTTGGAAAAAAACAAAACAAAGACATCCACACCTGCTTTATGGCAATATGAAGCAAAGAATATGTGAACGACTTACGTAACGCCAGAACAGAACAGAACAAAACAAAGTGTCTGCCAAACACCATCTTCAACAAATAAGACATTAAAAAAAAAATATGGCAAAAAAAAAAAATTATGAAGTTAAAACGAACTAGAATATAAGCTGAGCTCACATCTCATAGCTACTGTGAATAAACTCGGTATGAATGACCTGAGACCGAGGACTAAATCCCATGTGGCGGTAACCTAAAACATATTTAATCGTCTCCGGAAATGACATGGTATTTATGTTGAGCTTCGACACACCCCAATTTGAACTTTCAAAAATAAAAAAAAAATAAAAAAAATAAAAATTTTAACAAAATTTTAAAAAATTTAAAAAAAAGGAAAAAAAAAGCTGTTCTTGCAAAATGGGAATGACCACTTAATTAAACATAAAAATAAATTGATCGTGGGCCCTTAAGATATAGAAGAAGAAGAAGAAACATTATCATTGTATATTAAATCTGGATGCACTCGTGTCTATCCATGCTACAGCCCAAAATCTACATCTCAATTTTTTTTTTAAACATCGAAAAATAATGTTATGAGCATTTAAATCGAATTTGAAAACCCATCATGTAGACATGGTTTTAGTACGGTAACTCAGCTCCAGTTAAGGAAATATCATTTACGACTGTTTCGCGAACTATTTCAGAAAAACAAAAGAAAATAATACGCCTAAAACACACTTTTTAGGCGATATTTAAAAAAAAAAAAAATAGAATCTCAATTAGCGCAGTTATCGGGAATTTTATTTTGTGAAATCATATTTCCTTCACATTCACTTTGGAAAAAAAGAAAGGGGGGAAAAACGGACATGTGGGGGGGGGGTGGGGGGAATTTCATAGAGTGTATTGTGGTAAGCAACGAGTCTTTGTGCCAGTTTTCAGCTAGACAGGTTGATGGGAAGTGGGTCAACTAACCGTCTGAAAAATTTTCCAGCCAGCTGCGAACGAATGCGAAGTTAGTATCCAGTATTTAAAACCCTGAATAGCAAAACCAACTGATCTTACATGTAACAATGAGTTTGAGAAAAGTTCTCGTGTTCCATCAGGGATCAATTCTGTAGTGCATTGATTCCATTAGTCACAGCATTGTAGTGTATAACATAACAAAATTCTTTGCCAGGCCACCTCACTTTTTTTTTAACAGCATTTTCCGATAAAGAGATCTTTCTCTTAATTTTGCACTCGACTGTTGGCACTTGATGGGGTCCCTGCAATTATCCAGTCATAAAGATTCAACTACGGCATTGAATCAGAGTTTGCTACATGATAACGCCTGTTTTTATTGCCCAGACCGCACATACATGACGACGCTGAATCAAACAGAATGTGGTTTCAATGACTCTTATGCCTGATGACACTGAATCAAACAGAATGTGGTTTCAATGACTCTTTAAAAACAAATGACTCCTTTTAACGTCACGGCTCATCAACACATTGCCCGGTCTCGCAAGATGAAACCGACCCAGCTGGATGGTTTACATTTGTTGACGTTGGCTCTTTTGAAAAATACAAGTTCATTTATTTCGTCGATCATTATTCATTATTATATAAGGTCTCAGCAAAAGGTGCGGGTGGGGGGGGGAGAGGCGTCGGTCTCAGCGTGTCATAACTGCCGGTTAGCTGGTTAAAAACTGTTAAAATAAGGGGGGGGGGGTTGATGTGTAGGTGTTAGTAATGATCACTTCCTACTGTAATTATGTCTCAGCGTGTCATAACTGCCGGTTAGCTGGTTAAAAACTGTTAAAATAAGGGGGGGGGGGTTAATGTGTAGGTGTTAGTAATGATCACTTACTACTGTAATTACTGTGTAAGCATTGATGATCAGTAAAGATCGACAGCTACGCGGTGCCCTCCCTCTGTTTAAGGAGAGGGGGGTCTCGTAAAGTGGGGCTCTCAGGGGACCTGAAAGAGCTTCGGCTCAGGTCATCGACGTCAATTAAAATATAACAGTTTCAACAGTGACAACGCACAAAGGGAACCAGTTGACTGAGAGAGTGGTCCGGTACCACGACTACTTCTTTCAGTTGACAGAGAGTGGTCAGGTACGGTCATAATACTTTAAGTTGACTGAGAGAGTGGTCAGGTATTGTGATAATACTTTCAGTTGACTGAGAGAGTGATCAGGTACGGTCATAATACTTTCAGTTGACTGAGTGAGTGGTCAGGTACGGGATAATGCTTTCAGTTGACTGAGAGAGTGGTCAGGTACGGTGATAATACTTTCAGTTGACTGAGTGACTGGTCAGGTACGGTGATAATACTTTCAGTTGACTGAGTGACTGGTCAGGTACGGTGATAATACTTTCAGTTGACTGAGTGACTGGTCAGGTACGGTGATAACAACATTTGTATATCTTCAATAGGATCGTAGTCAACCATGAGGCGGACGAACTGCTTGGTCCTCTCCTGTCACTCAACTCTCACCCGAGGCGCCCGTAGCTGTTAGCATGCAACAGCGGCCATACCTTGGGCAACGGCTTCCACTAGCCGGGTAAACCAGGTGGGGATAGCTGATGGGCCTCAAACCCTCGGTGATTTAGGTCTGCCTACCTACTGCATGCGAAGCCTGGACGTCGATCGATCCTGCGGAGGAGACCATTTGGTTTCAACGGAGGAGATGGCGATTACAGCAACGCACCGTGGAGTGCGTACAGCAAGATGAGGCACTTAGAACATCTTGGCCATCCACTGCATCCGTACCCATTTCCGGTCGTCTTGACTTAGACTTGCCACTGGACTCGATGGGCCCGGACGAGAGAGTGAGGTTGACGCTGCGCAACTCTTCCTCACTTTTAACAAAGACACCCGCGCAAGTCATCGGTCATCCAACATCCACCCCGAGTCCCGTGGTGACGGGCAGGCTCTCCTAAATGCATGAGGCAGGGGCTAGAATATGTGCCCAAAACATTGCCTGCTCCTTCACACCCTGGCCGGCTAAACACTGTCGTCGGGGGAACCAATTTCTGCGGTCGAAAATCAAAGATAAACTCCATTTCACTTTAAATTGCCAGATAGAACATCCGCACACTGCTTGACAGGGACATTTTTATTATTCCGAGCACGGATCGGACTAGCAAGCCACATACGATGACTCGAAGGTCCTAGTGGATTTCAACGGACGAACAACAACAACAGTCTACCATGGATGTCAATGGGAGAATACATATACAGTGGCGTAGCTAAGGGGGGGGGGAATGTGGGTGTGCGGACCGCACCGGGTGACACCACTGTACAAATGTGTGTCTTCGTAGGATAAACAAACTACAAGCGTCTCATGGGGGAGATAACTCTTTAAAGTGAACAAACAAGTGCGCTAAAAGGAAAAATAAAAGAGCGATAATTTGGCCATTCAGAGGAACCCAACACCGGTGTTGAATTGCAGAAACTAACTACACCTGCATTTAGCCAAAAATAGCAATATAAATGAGGGTGGATAACTCAAGGAGAAGTTCTTACATCCAACAATCTATAAGAGACGAGTTCAGGTACGCCAAGAAGAGAATAACTCTGTGGTGCACGAAGGGACTACAGTTTAACACCATTGTTAAAAATATTTTTTTTCTTTTGTTTCTTGCACCCAGCAGTAACATTGTTAGCCATGAACTGGATACCTGCAATTATCCACAAATTAAGATTTAACTACGGCCTTGAATCAGAGCCACGTCTATTAAAAATGTCCAAAAAAAAACAAAAAAAAAAAACGAAAGTACCAGATGCCAGCTGTCATCAGACATAATGTAGACTTGTTTAATCTTTAAAACACTGAACAGTTAATTCCAGCGTCCATTAACGTAATCGTGTTACTCTAAAAGGGGAACTGATCCAAGTGAACAGTTTAACATTTGTGGACGTCGGCACAGTTGCGCGCTACAGGCTAATTAGTTGCGTCGGCCTCTGTTGACTCTTATAAAAGGTGTCAGTATACATGTGAACAAAGGGCGTTGGTGTCTTAAGTTCAGAACCGCTGGTTAACTGGTTAAAACTGTTCATATCGGAGGTAAGGTCATTCTCCTTGATCTTGGCATGTCTTGTAATATTGTAATGATAGATAGATAGATAGATAGATAGATAGATAGATAGATAGATAGATAGATAGATAGATAGATAGATAGATAGATAGATAGATAGATAGATAGATAGATAGATAGATAGATAGATTAGATAGATAGATAGATAGATAG